GCAAGATACGGGGTAGATCAGCAAAAGGAGGTTGTGCCAAGAAAGTCAAGGCTCTTTCTTTGCCTCTTCCAAGAGGCCATCCCATCGAATCGAATTACCTGAGCGCCCAAGACAAGACCCGGACAAGGTAGTTTGATTACCCAGCGAAGCGCCTTGGTATCTCTTGTTACGGAGCGTCGCGAGACCTGCACAGCCTCGAGCCCTCGCATTCGTTCGCACTGGCACTGACGGCACTGACACTGGGACTGCGACTGGCACTGGCATTGGCAGCGACATCCAAGTCATCCCAAGTCCCGCCCAAGATATCCAAGACAAAGACTTGGCTCTGTCCTGATCCCGATTACTGGGACTTCTAGAGTGCCCGGCTACTGGAAATACTCCGTGCCAGATATTATATATTTCGAGTAGAAACCCCAGGCGAGCACCAGAGCAGGGCCTAGATTTGGACCCGTTCTTTTTTCAATTTCCCCAGACTATTGCGTCAACAAACATCCGTCGACATTCACCCCGCTGCCCGTAAGAAGAAATAGAGGGGGGGGATCGAACCACCTATACATATATCCCCTTGCTGAGGCGTCGAACCCGAGATCCAACTACACGCCACATCTGGCACGCCGAGAGGCAACTACAGTCAGCAACAGCAGTGTCGTGGTCAGACAGCGAGTACGAGCAAAGGACAGGAGGGGCCGGCATCGGTAAGAGGTCAGCTCCAGAGGCCAGCGCAGGATCGGGAGAAGGAACCAACACCCTGGACGGGGCTTATGTCCTCGGGCGGCGACCTGCCTTGTGAGAACAAACTGGGACGTCGGTATCCGCTGATCGTCAAACCAACACCAACACCAGCGCCAGGCTGCAAAGAAGAACAAGACTATTTTGGAATCATCGGTACCCGCCGGGACTCGACCAGTGGACTCGACCGAAACCTGAAGCCCGCACCGCGCCGCGTTACAGTTACGTTGGCTTGAGAGGCGCACTTATCCTGCTTGTTGGCTGGCTGGCTTGTTTGGGCTTGCATCGCACCGCATCAACTGGCGGCCTGCAGCATCTGAAATCGCTCCAGCAGACAGCGAGCAGCCCGGGTTATTCACGGCTGCTCATTCGCGCGTCTCAATTCCTCGCCCGCCACGCACAGGCTTGGTGTCTTTTTTTTTCCCTCCTGCCCCCCACGAGCAGATCTTGGTCGTGGTGGTGGTGGTGATTTGTGGTCACATACAGCGAGGAGGATCGACTGACTGGGGATTTAATTACGCCAGGTGAGTGAGAAACGGAATCCAGAGTGAGATTCAGAGTCAGTTTTGGGAGTCAGTGTGATGGATTATGATGATGTACCCGCTGGGGCGACTCCTCCCTCCTCCCACATTCCGAGCTGCTGCGCACCGCTGCACACGCCATCATCAGCATCAGCATTGTTTAGCCACAAGCCATTCCAGAGCCCAGATCGCTGCACTACACTGCCCTTTTTTTTTTACTCCCTTGCTCGGGCTCATCGATCGGCATAACTTGTTGCTGGCAGCGTCGTGGGCGTCTGTGCTGTGCCACTTTGATGCTCATGCTCATGCTCAAGCTCAATGGTCTTGTTCTTGTTCATGATCTTTGTTGCTTGATCTTATTTTTACTCTCGCCAAAGACCCCAGACCAACCAAGCCTCGAAAGGATTCAGGGTGGGCCCCTACCAAGACCCCCCTTCCGTCTCTTCCTCCCCCGTCGCGCCTTCCCTCAAGACCCCCCTCCCCCTTCCCCCCACCTGCCCTGCCAGTCTGACTCCCTGCAGCCCCAAGTGCGGATGCGCAGATCCCCAACGCTCAGCGACTGAGCGACCGGTTGTGTTCCAGTAAAGGAAGGCACTAATCTGGGTGAATTACTTAGCGGCAGCAGTCCAAGACTTGCCTAGGGATTGAGCCAAGCTTCTTCGCACTTGCCTGACACGACTCTGGCGGTACCATTTTGCCTAGTCTACTAGCATACTCCTTCCTACCGTCGACCGTTGACAGAGAACCTTCCGTCAGGCTTCTCTCGATCGAACCTTTTCCCCTTTTCTCCCTCTTTTTCTCTCACAAACTCCAACCCAACCAAGGATTGAAAAGTCAACCCTTCTCGAAGGTTGTTTTTTGGTTTGATATAGGGACGTGCATCGTTGTGGTTATTGCTTGCGTCTGCCTCGTCCGATCGAACCTTCCCTCACCGTGGCGGCAAGTCGTCGGCCTGGCCTGGCCTACCCACACACCACACACACACTGGCACACCTACGCACACCTATTTTCTCGCTTGCCGTGTGTCCGAAAATAACCTGAATTAACCTTAAATTCTGCGACACCCGACCCTGATCGCCAAACCACAAACACACTCTCGCCTCTCGCACGTCGCCTGCCCCTTCCAACCCCTCGACAAGTAGCAGTGCAACGGAGAGAATTCGTCTGAACAGGTACGCGCAATCGATACTCCCGTCCTTCATGCCATCAATTGCCCCCCTCCCCATCACACACAAATTATGCCAACACGCGTACTGCACCAAAAACACACATCCCACACCTTGCCTTGGCTGTGGCCTCTCCCAGTGGGACTTGACTCAGCCCAGCTCGGCTCGGCTCAAGGCTATTGAAGCAAGGCAAGCAAAAAAATGCGAGCACCCAACCACCACTTAACGACGACACCCTTTCTTGCACACAATATTTATCTCTCTGCCTCTACCTCAATCCCTCCTTCGCACCGGACCCACCCTACTGCTCTGGGGGCCAGCTCCGCCTGTCCAACAGTCAGCCTCACGCACACACGCACACACACGCATCATCTATCATGCGGTGCTCACAGGGACAGGTGCAGGGTGTGCACACAAAGCTGTGTTCCGCTGCTCCCGTCCTGGTCCTGGTCCTGGTCCTAGTCCTGCTCTGGCTCTGGCCCCGGTCCTGGCTGAGATAAGTGAGATGAGTGAGATGAGAGAGATGAGATGAGGCTCAATGGCGGGTTCTCCGATACACAGCACATGTGAGCATGTGAGCAGCCAGCCAACCAACCCAAAATTGACTGCTCTGGCCGACACATCGCAAATGCATGGCATCACTCACTCATCACCCATCACTCATCAATCACACACTGCTGCGCACAAGAGTCAGCTTTGCCTGGTCCCGATGGGTCCTGCCTCTGTCATCTAGCCCACCCCCTCAGCCATTCCTCCATGACAGTGACAATGACGATCCCCCTTCATGCTCCCGCGCCAACCTTGACTTGCTTCCATCTCCCATACCCACATCCACTATCCACATCCACCACATCCACCCTCCATCTGCTGTGTGCAACGCCCGTCTGCCGTTGGTTCGGGCTCTCGGTCATCTTTGCTTCATCTGTTCTGGTTTCTTTCCTCTGGCTCTGGTCACATTTGCAGCATCATGCCACAAAAGGGCCAATGAACCCCCCCTCCCCTTTTTTTTATCGGTCCCTTTGTCACTTTGTTCCCTGGCACTCACAATATCCACGCGTCCACCGACCACCCAAATCTCGGGAGGCTTGCAAGGGTTATGGGGCCTCGGAATGGAGGGCTCTGGATCAAAGAATACCCACTCACCTAACCTGGTCAGCTCTGCCTGGCGGATGAGTTGCCCTTCATGGGGCCTGACTGGGTGCGCAACAAACAAGCTCAACCTTGCCTGGGCGCCCCGGCACCCCCCCCCCCCTTGTACCTGTCCCTTCATCCTCGTTCTTTGTTGCAAGGTACTTGGGTACTGTACCTCACTGCATACGATCCTCACTCATCCCGGCCCCATTTTTTTGAGTCTGGGCATATGGCTTGGCATGGCACCAAGGAGTCTACTTGGTACTTGGCTCGGAATTACCACGAGTCTAGCACCGCACAGGCAAGGAAGAGGCTACAGGGCCAAGCCAAGCAGAGCCCAGCAAGCAGGGTTTCTCTGTACCGTATTATGTACAGCACTGCACAGTCCAGCCCACCCAGAGCCCGCACATGAACGTCCTGTACTCTATTCTACTTTGGCTCTGGCTCGCCTGTGCGGCGAGGTGGCCTCATTGCGCGTACCACAGTACGGGTACCGCTGGCTGGTTGGCCGCTGGCCCGCTGCTCCTGAACCCTCCTTTGCTTTCCAGTATACCCACAGGGCCAGCCTCTTAGTGCCTCTGAATTGCGTGTCGTCTTTCCCAAGGTGGATATGCCAGTGTTTTGGGCGGCGCCGTGTGTCAGGATTTATATACACGCTCCTGCAGGCCTGCTCCCACTTTCACAACCACCAAGGCCAAGCTTTTCTTGACCGTCCCATCCTTCCAACAGAGAGAGCCTGTCACCCTGTGCGTCTCGAAGGGCAAACAGTTCCACCGGCTTTTTGGGACGTCTGAGACTTTTTATGAATCGCCCTCCCTCGTACTCTCTTCTCTTTTCTCATCGTCGGCTGCTGTCACACATCCACTCACCTTTTTCTCCAATCTCCGTTTTTATCTCTTCTTTTTTAAGCATTGTGCAACTTCGCTCCCTGAGATCGATTTGCCCGTCTCGTCAATCGTATCTCGACTACTTTTGGGATCAACCGGGAACTAACATCACTGCCCGTTAAAGAGGAAACAGCAATACAAGAGATCCACGGCAGCCCTCCACACCAAATTTTACCAAGGGCAGCCTGCCTCGGAATACAGAGGGTCTGCTCACTGCCCGCAGCCCCTTCACGCAGCCCCTGCCAACCGCACAGCGCAGGGCAATAACGCCAATCAAAGGCCGATCAGCCGGGTTGCTCCTCCCGGTGGGGCGATTGACATAGCGCCGCGCAAGCCTCGCTCCTCCTGAGTTGCAGGACAGGGTGTTGGTGCCCTATCCAGACAACCATATTTTAAAAGTTACTTTTCTCGATTCGAATGGTGGGCCCACCCTGCAGATCTGGGGGCCATCTAGATTTCGGGTGCACTTGTATTTAGGAACTTCAGCAGCCTGCCACACTGCTGGGTCCTGACCTCCTTCACATCTTCCCACACTTCAACCACCTTCCAGCCTACCCACATATCCCATGGCTGTGCGACAAAGTAACATGATGGAAACCTATCACGGCCTCGTGCGGACTCCCGCAGACGCAATCAAATTATTTGAGGCATGCAGGCTCGGCCTACTGCCTCGTGTGCAGCGCAGATTATCAGAGAAGGAGCGCCAGTCAATCCGATCCGGGTCGGTCTTTGTTTGGGACGAGAGGGAAGCCGGCATGCGCAGGTGGACAGACGGAAAATCATGGAGTGCGAGCAGAGTCTCTGGCAGCTTCCTCACCTACCGAGAGATGGAGGGCAAGCGTGGCGGCGGCTTTGGCGCATCACGGAGGAGCGCCGGCAAGACACCAGACTCTGGTCGCGGTAGCGACGAGGACCCCGACGACGGCGAGCCCGATGGATACCGGTACAAGGCCGACGGTCTCATGAAGCAGTCCTTCAGCATCACCACCTCCCAGGGCCAGCACCTCCACCTGATCTCATACTTCTCGCGCCCACACCCCAGCGAGCCAGAGCTCCCACAACCCAGCTCAGACCCCAGTCTGAGGCACATCGTGCCCGTCAAGGGCATGTACCCCGAGTCGAGCATGAACGAGCAGCCCGTGCCTGCCATGACCAGGACACCTATGGCATCTGCATACGCACCCGCACCACCACACCCAGCACAATACCACCCACAATACGCACAACAATCACCATACCCGGGCTGGCCGCCCTCTCCAGTTGCGACGCCGCCCTACAGCCACTACACGGTGTCTGCTCCTTACCCGCCAGCACAGCTACCACCACCACCACCAGCCGGGGTTCCTTACCCGCCACCTCACCACGGCCACCCTCACCAGTACCTCCCAGGGCCGCCTCCACCGCACCCTGCGTACGACCGCCCCCAGCTGCCACCACCGGGATCCGCCTCGCAACCACGAGTCACCCCGTCAATGCTGCCGCACTACAGCCAAGGGCAACCACAGCTTAGGTCGCCCCATCTGGCGCAAATCAGGATAAACGAGGAGTCGCCACGCCTACAACAATTACAGTTGAAGGCTGGCGGGGCTGGACGGACGATGCCCGGGCCTCTGCCCGCAGTACACAGCTCGACGCCACCTCCACGCGCGTTGTCGCAGTCGCCACCAAATGTCGGTAACAAGGCCAGCCTTTCAGCGCTGCTGCACCCCCAACCCACACCGACAAGCTCGGAGCCAAACAGCGCGGCGGGCAGCAACAGCGCGACGAGCAGCCCCCGTGGAACCGGTGCCGCCATGGGTAGTGGTACTATGAGCAGCAGCGCCATGAACAACGCTGCCGCGGCGGGGTTGATGGCCAAGGGTTTCCACGAGGACGCAAGAGCACTGGACGTTCTCAACAAGAAATTTTCCATTTGATTCTCGGTGGAACGGGCTCCAAGCACACGAGAGGCATAGTCAGGTCAAGGTGACCTGGGATAGGGAGGAGTCATTGCATCGTTACGGCGTCCAGAGCAGGACATTGAAATTGGCGAAAAGCTTTCTGCTTTCATTCGCGTTGCGGGAACGTGTTTTTCTTGTTCTATTTTCTTTTTTTCACTGAGGCATGGTCGGGAACAATATTTCCCAGTAGGTTTCTACCACTGGCAAGGCGTAACGGGGGAAATACCAGGAGGAGATCCCACAAGGGAGGTGGGAATATGGACTTAGGTAGCATCATTTGGTGAAGACATCTTCATCAAGCCTAGATAGCTTTTGCGAATACTCGAGCTATTTCTTATCACTGCTTCTTGGCCTCATGTCTACTGTGACAACCTGCTTCATTAGCTTCTCCCGAGCGCCAACTTCAGTTGTCCAGTACCAGTTCACAAGCTTCCCACGACTGCCATTCTTTCAGCGGCCTCCATCCTCAGCCCACCTCGGATTTACAGCCCATGTACCCTCGCCCGGTCCGAGTTTATGCTCCCGCATCGTTCCTGCTTACCAAACAGAGAACAGTCGTCGTCACCGGAATCCGGCAAGGCGGAAGGGGACCGGGGGCCAGAAGGGGGGAGACTTTTGTCTAACCGCCGATTCCCATGATAGGTTTTTTTTATCCCGACTCCAGTCGATCCCGACTCCAGTAGTCGCCTCGGCCCTTCTCCCTTCTCCTCTCCCTCGCCCTCCTCGTCGTCACCCAGGACCCGCACCGCCCGCGCCCGACCCAGCAGCTCGGGTGATGAGGCAGGCTCCCCTTTGGGCCCCGCCCGTCGCATGACCCTCTGCCTATCTATCTCTCTATCTTTCCTCTGAGTGTGTCCATTCCGCGCAAAAGGGCAGAGACGCGCGGGAAGGGAGGGTCACGCTCGCCCACATCCCGGAGGTGGTGTTGCGTGGATGGTGATGGATACCCATCCCATTTTCCGCGGTGCCCTATTTCCCACGATGCGGCTCTTTCGGCGGGCGGGTGATGTGGGCAAGCGCGGGATCGCGGGCTGTGTCTTCGGCGTCTTTTCTCTTTTCACACTTCCTCTGTTCCTGGGGTGGGCGGGAAGGAGGCTGTCGTCTCTTCCTCGTCACCCCCCTTCTGTTCTGATACAGGGGAATGGGAGCAGCAGCTATCGTCCCCGCCCCCCTCTCCCTCCCTCCCACTGTGTTTGTTTGGTACCTGCCTGTGCACTCCGCCAAGATAGGGGGTGGAGGGGGGGACGAGTAAGCTTAATATCGCGAGTCGTACGCTCGACGCATGCCTGCTGCCCGGGATGGGTGACTTTCTCTCGGAGAGATACGGTGTCAATTTCTCTTCTGTGTACCGGCCTATTATTTCGCTGTCTGACTGACTTGGTTCGCTGGTTGACTGACTAACTAATCGAGTCGTTCTATCCCATGTACACAGTATAGACTTACACAAGTCCAAAGTCTATTGCTCTTCCCTATACGGTACTGGCAGATCAAAGTGCAATGACTCTTGTCTAGCGGGTTAAGTGGGAATCACGGGAAGCGGGTTACGAGCACGTTTATTCTCATCCAACGATACCTGACCAGGTCGAATGATTTCCCGCGCAATCCACGTACTCAATCCTCGGTTGAAGCCCGTGGTGGCCAAATAACAAAAAAGTTTGCCCAGGTTTTTTGGACCGCGGCTTGTTCAATTAGACGCTTGGAGAGGGTGGGCGCTCGGGATTACGAGTCCTCGCAAAGCAGCCCTCCCCACATGGCTCGTTCCAGCCCATCCTCACTAGTGTTTCTATAGAAGAATGGCTGTGCCTGTCTCTTTTCGGCGAGCTAGCGTCTTATCCCAAGCCAATATTAATATAATTGATTTGTTCCTGACGTTCCCTTTCTGATGGGCACCGCCCCCACTTAGTTTTGTTTAACCTCGTCCTGTCGGGGAATTGCGCCCTTCTAGAACAGGTCGATTTGTGGGGGTCCTATTTATTTCTTGCGGACGGGAGGGCGGGAGGGTGCAGATGGCGACGAACAGCGGGACTGTTTGCGATGGGTGGTGACGCGTAAATGGCTGTTTATGGGTCTGTTTCCTCGAGCAAGTAACAACCGAGTACAATTGAAGGTTATGTTCTGTCTGCGCTTGGCATTGCCCGTGGTGAGGCTGCTGAGAACACATCCTGATGCAGACCCGGTCTCTCTGCCGTGAAGCTGGCTGGGTCTGCAGCGGGCGGGCCATCATCACGCGAGCAATTGATTGCTGTTCACGCTCGCGACATTTCGTACCAATGCTCACCAACGGCCTGCCCGGTGCCAGTAGTACTTCGGATCCGGAGGTAAGTAAGGAGAGAGCATAGGCCCCAATCGTCGATTAAAAGTCCCGGCCAGGCCCGCGAAAAAATTGCTGCTTTCCCACGCCGGCCCACCGCCACCGCACACTGACTGCCGGACGGGCTGTGCCCGCCGGGGACTTTATTAGGAGAGGAGGCGCCGCCGGGCCGGCAGGTGATCCCGTCCACCAGACATGTCACATTTTCCCGTTCCGGCCGTGACGATCGCCTCATCGCTGGCTCCTCACGGAGAGGTGCGCCGGTCAGTCCAGTGCAAGTCCACTTTGCGTCAGGGGGACCGGCGGTTGATCCCAACCTCCAGGGTCTCGCCTAATTATTCCGACCCAGTACCCAGACCCAGGTCCTGCGGGATGGGCCTTGATTAAAGATGTTCGCTACCGCTGAAATGCCTTCGCGTCCTTATGTTGCGCCGCCCACATATTGTCAACTAACTTCGGACGTTGTGAAACGGTTTATCCAACGGGCGATGGGTTGGCCGCAGGTTGGGACGGCGTTGGTATGATGCCACATTATGTCACTGCTCTCTGATGTCCTCGCCACGTTTCCCCGAGCACATTTTGTTTCCCAGAATAGAACGCTGCGCCCGCCGACGGGGTCATCAAGTGTTTGGCCTGCGTGGTCTTTTGGGTCTTGGGTCCGGTCCGGTGGGTCCCCCTTCGCTGCGGGTTTTTGGCTCAATGGGAGCAAAACCTACGCATGCAGACTACCCGCTTCTGCGCATCCACATATTTACGAAGTTCAGGAGTAGGAACCCCCCCTCCCCTTCTCCCCAGCCGCGCGTTTGTTTCTGGTGCTTGTCGAGTTGGTTCGCAATGGCCTTCCTGTTAGGGGACTACCAGAAAAAAAAGGGTCGCCCGCCCTGCTGGCCCGCCCCGCCCCTGTGCGGACGTAGAGGGCGTCCAGAAGTAGCACCGAATGACCGCCGAGCCAGCCATACTGAGTGTCGCTTTTCTCCACAGCCTCCGAGAGCTGTTGGCGACGACACAACAGGCTGGTCTCTCTTGCGGGCTGGCCACTCGCCCTGGTGCGGCGGCTATGGGTTGAGGGCTGGCGCGTGCCGTGCTCGCCCCCGGCGTACGAGTCGGTGGCGGCTCGTCGTGGGTAGATTGGCTCGCTGGGTGGCTGGTGACGAGGTGCGGCTGAGGCGGGTCATGCAAGTCATACGTACGCGCTACTTGCCCGCTCTGTGCTGGGGACCGCCGTTGAGTTGCTGCCCACGGGCATGCCTGTCTATGCCTGTCCGTCTGGCTGACTGGCTCGCTGGGCCGCCGGCGAGCGACTCTCTGGCTGTGCACCGCAATTGGCAGGTGGATAAATCCAACACTGTGCCCATGGACTGGCGGTCATGCGTCCAGCAGAGCAATTACGTAGGGAGACATTCGGAACACCCGGTCGGGGCGCCAAGGCGAGGGAACTGATTCACAAAACAATAAGGTTGTTTCAACGAGAACAGCTGGCTGGGAAGGCCGGCCAGTCGCATAGGCACGGATTGGGGGGAGGAGAGGGGTGGCAGGAATAATCTCCGTGCTTGGCTGCAACCCTATGTGCGAAGAGCCCCGAAGCTTGGCGTGCTTGTCACGAGTCGGTTGTCAGACGAAATACATAGAACGACCAAAAAAAGGTTTGTGGGGGGGCTTCTATTCTCTGACTATACGTATGTGTTTGTCTTTTCGGGCACGGTATGCGAGCGACTCGCTCGGCGGGAGGAATTACCTTTGATGAAAGCAGCTCGTGCTCTTTGTCGATCACTTCTTGGCTGTCTTTGAGTAGGTGCGCGGGCTCCATACTCTCGCTATCGCTCCATCATCCCTTTCCAGGTGACGATCACACGGGGCGATGGAGGCTGGATGGGTTGTGAATGCGTCAGGTAAACGCAATCGGTCAGGTTGGTTTTGAAACGAGGGGCCCGAGTCTTGTGTTCTTGATCATCGTCATCTTTTTGGAGGGGGCTCTACGAGGACACCTGTAGTGATGTGGGCAGGGGACCAACAGAGACGGACCCCATCAAATGGGGCCTCTCCAGCAAGTAGGTGCCATGGCAAGTGGGCTTCTTCCGCATTTGCCGCAGGCGATCGGCGACGGGGTGCCCGGACGCATCAACTTAATCTGGGCCACCGTTGTTGGCAAGGGGCCAAAGAGATGGGACGAAGCCAATCAAGATGAGTCGTTGGTGAGGTCGCAGACTATGAATGGGGTTGACGATCGGCGCAGAATAGTCTCTTTGAGTCAAATCTGCTCGAGGATGGAGATGCTGGAGCTTGATTTATTCTACGGAGACGAGATCCGTCTGGCCTGCTGTGCAAGACTGTGTGGAATAAATGCCAACAATTTAGTAACTCCAGGTCCCCTATTCCGGCTCAGCGTGGGTAAAGGGGACATCGAACCACTATCAGGGGAACAAAAGCACATACCAGATGCTGCTGATTGACATGTCTCATTTTGGTGTGTAATTATTAGTATTTACACTGAGGGAGATTGATGAATGGACAGTCCATTAACGATTTATGACAGATCGAAACATCTATTGTAGCGAAATGTAAACATTTTCATTTTAGCCTGTGGGCTTGTCACTTTGAGATGACCGAGCTTCGACCGAGCACAATTTTAGGAAGACTTTAGCAGCGTGGTTCCGGGCTGTACGAATACTGCGCGGTTGATATAGCGATGGCCAATAGATCGGGTGATAGTCTGAGACAATTGAATCGTAGAACTATGTACAGTACTTTCGAGTTGGACATGTCAACCGCGATAAAGTCAGCAAATACTACCTCATTACACGCGTTAATGAGTTTCAGAAGTAGTCGATATGGAGTCGGCGTGCGTATGTTGCAACTGTAGATCCGGCTTCATTCTCGGTGCTCCGAGTCTGTCTCGGTGCTCCGAGTTCGCTGCCGCTGCATATCGCCTTCGCTTCAGACAGAATTGATTACAAACATTGAAGACTAGACCGAATGAAGATATTGTGTCCAGCTAGAAGTGGCAACTTCTTGACTTTGGGAGATCATCGGTGGGATTATTTGGCTGCCGGTATTTTTGCATGGCATCTATGGTCCGTTCTTGATCGGGCATGGTCCGGAAGAGTGCGAGAAAAAAACTCTTCTGCAACCTATGCGGATATGGGGCGAGATTGAGTCAACGGCGTATTGATGCAATCTGACCTCCAAAGACGAATGATCGGAGACTCTCTAATCATTCGTTTGAGACGCGGACACTTCTTTTAGTCATTGACTTTACTAGAATCATGGGTGTTCGAACGTCCCATGGAATGTATTTGTATGTGGATCAGAGTCTGAAAGTTAAGACTGGAATATTCTAGGAGCTCCGTAGAGGAACTCCGTAGAGGCTTGAGAAAGCAGTCTCGAGGCCATGACTTATTGTGGTTACGGGCCGTTTCCATGTAGTTTCGCGTATAAGTTCTGAGAAACCTTTAACACCATGAAGAATATATATATTTATATGGCTGGTCTTCCTCAATAATCGCCTGAGCGTCCGTGGCTGTGATGTTGACGGCGAGGGGCCTTGTATGCAATAAGTGAGTGTATTCTTGCTCATTGTCTAGTTTCCTAAATTAGGCCTGCTCTCTTAATGGAGCCAACATCATGTCACTTTGAGATTTCAACCATACTTACTCACTTTCGAAATCAAGAATCTGGAAATGACTTTGATGCTGATATTTTGCTGTTCTACCTCATATCAACCGCGGTGATTCGCCTACTACGGTTGGCCCCATGGCGCGATACTGATACAGTCGATGGAAAGAATGTGGCGGAGGAAGAAATACCCTGAAGACATTCGATATACTCTTCAATGTTGAAAAACAGACAGAACAATATGGAAAGCATTTCGCCAGCCCCAAACACCTCCAAGTTCTAAAAAAAGCTGCTTGGCCCCGAACAAGGTCTTAGTCAATCAATTCAAAGATGAATTCAAATGGGAATATAAATTGGAGACAATGCTTATTTGGAGGTGAGAATTGTTCGTGGAGTACCCTTCGCGTCATAACGCATCAATCTGCTTCTTGACGAATTCTGATCCCGTCCAGCTGAGCCGGAATTCCCATCATTCTCAATGAGCAAGTGTACCCTCGAGACACAGAATGAGGATTGTAATTACACTCGCGAGGAAGACGATTTATCTCTGCACATCCAGGATACTCCGGGACGCAGGTAGTATTGTACTTATATGTACCTGCTGTGATTATTTTGAAATGCCCAATGAGTTGGTCCCGGGGCACTTCATGGGCCAATTATCTTGCTTCTTCAACAAAATTTTAATCACGTAAGTAAAGCCGTTCTTGAGTCCCGCAAATTCTTTCTTTCACACAAACAGGAAGTGGTGCTCTCTTCTCAACGAACTTCGCTGCCCTAAGAGAGCTCTCTATCATGTCTCGACTCGGCGTACATCACGGAAACCCCCCCCCCAAAGAACTCTACGACTTTTTCGAGATTATCTAAATTTGGGAACGTACAAAAAATCGATTATCGATTTTCTCGGGTGGTCAGTAGCTCCTGTGGCCTTCAACATTACGTGCCATTCATCTCTCTCCTGTGGCTCAAGAGGCAGCCAAGACGTTAATTATGACTAGAGGGACCCATCACTACCAAAATCGTCATATCTCAATCCAGGGTATACGTCAAGGGTGTTCAATATTATCGATGTCAAACAGCTGGAGCGCCTCAGTAGATCACAATGCATCGGAGTTGGATCACGTCAGACGCGGCCGCCAGAGCCGATCCGCCGCAACGATCCTCACTTCCTTCTTTTCTTGACTGCTTAAACTACCAACCAAAATGTCACGAAAGTTGATGAACGCGACATCACCGAGTCAGGAACCCGTGATGCGAAGCGGTAGGCACCCAGATCGACTGGCCGACGACACACATGATCCAGCCAAGCACCATGCCAGACACAGACGCAGAGACGCGCCTAGGCGACAGAACAAAGTCTAAGCACAACATTGGAGGGCGCTACGAGGCCGGTGGCACCGCGCTTGTCGGGATCTGGTATAGCCGTGGCTTTGCTTCGGTCAAGCATAATTCATCCTGGGGATACTAAGACCAAGCTAGCCGGAATTGATGTAGTGGGAGGTGAGACACAACTATCAATAGAAGGAGTTCAGAGCGGCGGGCCAGAGCCGGATGGCATTCCAGGCCATGAGTTGCAAAACGTGTGATTGACTTATTAACTCCGCGGGACTCGCAGTACACTGAATCAAAAGGTGGCACGTCTAGCTGCGTTTATACAGGCGAATCGCGGCGACACCAGCCGTCTATGATTTGACTGCACATGGGCGCACATTGATGTCTAAGTAGTGACGGTGTATTTGGCTGTATGGGCAGCTCCTTCAGTGGGCTCTTACTTGTCCGAAGGAACTGCGTGACCGGCGAGCGTAAACACTTCGTATACGATCCCAGTTCCCGGCTTGAAAAGTGATGTCACTCATACGAGGCTTTGCAAAGTCATAGCAAGATGAACAGACGCAGTGACCTTAGGACTTAGCCCGGCTGTGCCTTACTAAGTTGCCGCCTGTCCACGGCCGTCCAGATGAATCACTGCCAATTGATCCAGAGACTCCCATATCACCACTGGACTTCTGTTCCTGTGCCGTGAAAAGAATCAGCCGCGTTTGACGTCTCTTCTTGACGTTACCATGTCCTGGCACATGCTGTGCTCGAGTTGTCAATGATGGCAGACAGAGAGTGTTCGGGGATATAGCTCGCAAGCATCTCGAAGTTTGCCAGATACCCGACTGGCATGTGGGAAGGGATCGTGAGAACAGAGACCCAAACACAGGCATTGACGAACTGTCTACATGATATGAGGTGCTCCCACTGCGGTGAAGGTACACGTAGACGTCTGGGATCACTGCGCAAGCATGCTCTGATAGCACCAGGCCTCACTGGCCTTCGGGTCACACACTGGGTCTCCAGGCTTCCCTGATGACCAGGAAGACGCCGTCAAGATTCGTTTTCACCGCGTCGAGCCCGTGCTCGGGGCTCTGGGTGTTCATCGCGTGACCCGGTCAACGCCCCACCGACGCGGGCACCCTTCTCGATCCGGATCAGCGATCGGAGTTTCTCGTGAAGTCGGCTGGGCAGGTTGGCTATGAGTCGGTCAAGCTCTGGCAATGCGCGCCTGTGTCAAGTAAGTAATGAGCAAGCCACGCTGTGAGGTGTCCTGCATCCGGACAGCTGCGATATGCCCGCTGTCCTGCAAACGCTCAATGGCGAGAACAGCAAACTAAAAAGTGTTGCGGTGAGCTGCGGGGAGCGAGGCTGGGCTCATCCCATATCGAGTCGACTAAAGAAATGCAAAAAAGTAGCTGTGATTTTAGCAGAGGCAAGTGACGGAGGTCTGTGTTGGCTTTCGTCTAGACCTGTGTCGGTTGTGGTGGCTGTGGTTGTGATCGGACTGCCGAAGCTCATGACACGTGCAAAGTTTCGTTTGTGTTCAAGTGCAGCAGGGCCAGTATCGTTTCGTGCCGGCATTTCCGCGTCGCAAGGCATATCGCAACTGCTGAGATCGAAGACAGCTGGGGACCGTCGTTGTGCTGTTTTGTCGCAAAATGGCGCCGGGCTCGCCCTCGGCCACGTTGTTGTCAGACGCCATGTCGTGTCACCACTGGCCACCAGCCACCTCTGCCAAACAGCGGTTCGGCGAACCCCGGTCGGCGACTGAGCCGTCGAAGGAAACATTTGAGACTGTTCACTGGTCTCGCTGAGAGTGTAGTCGGCGTGTGTAGGACTGTCTTGTTTCTTGCATTGGCGTGGGCTGGGAGGTGTGTCGCACGGAAGGGAGAAATGGCAGGTGCCAACAACACACAAATTGCGGTTTCCACCAGAGTTTCAAGGTTTTTATTGGGAGACTCTCGATAACGAAGACTTCATCTTGAAGTCTTTGGCCAATGATGCTTAGTTAATAGGCATCCAGGTCGAATGTTGTGGGAATAAGTTGGCAGACCACATTGGTGTGCAGAAAATGCAGGTGGTCTGGCTTGGGGCGCGTTGCTCACCACAACACATCTCGCCCATGCCATGCAGCCATGATTGCCAGCTTCCTTATTGAATTGAATCAAAATCATCGCAGTAGCTCACTCGAGCATCGAGAGATATTTCAAGTCATTCCACTGACAGTATTGTTGAGGAGGGGAGGTGGAAAGGTGGAAAGAAGACTGCATCGTGGACACGCGATCGTGGCCCAGAGCGCGACTTGACAAGAACGGGTGCATTGCGACACGGTGGTCCAAAAAAGATGCAAAAAAATCGGGATGCCCTCTAAATTGATCCACTGATGATGCCCAGAGCACGAATTGAGTAAAAAACCAAATTGTGGTGGCGTGGGGGGTGGAAGTTGAAAATTGGTCGTGAATTTGCGGATAGCTTCACGATGCATCACAGACGCGACCGGGCGACAACACGGAAAAAGTGACATTGGCTGACCCCAGTGATATTGGGCATTAATACAGCACCGATATTTTCGAAAATACGCCTATTGGAAATCTGACGTTTCATTTGATCAGAAACTTGTATTATATTTCTAGAAGACATGGGTTGTTGGCTCGCCATTGGGAATGCGACTGAACAAGTCGCAGTTTGGTCGAGCTGCAGAAGTGGGCGCGACACGCAACATCTCGAGCTGGGCTGGGGTTTGGCCGCCAGCAAAGACTGCGAGTCCTGGGCGGAGCTGCATCGGCCGTCAATGCACGCGAAATGCTAAAAGGAAAGCTTAAGGCTCGAGAGCCAATAATGAAAAAGGGTGTGGCAGAGGGATTGAGAAGGGAAGAAGAGGGAGAAGGCCGGGACGGTCGAAGAGAAGAATCGGGGGGATCGAGGTGATTGACGTGAGAGCAGCGAGGACGGCATGGCGATGGCAGCGGGCTGATTGAGAGCAAGAGAGCAGAGGAGGGGGTACAACAGGCGAGACGTGAGGTCGAACTGGTGGGCCCAATCCAGCTTAGCGCCAAGGCCCTCCCGGACAGGGATGCGTAAATCTGCTTATTCCATGCTAAAACACGCGCCTGAGGAGCCGTGCAAGTAGCAATTTGGCCAAGATTCTGCTCCATCTGCGCGGCCAAAACAAGCAGTTTAGCCAGCAGTCCCCGTACTTTTATGGTCGTGGGCTATTTTTCGATTATACCCCGGCCATTCCAGGCACCCTGGACCTCTCGGGCCATATCGAGAACAAAACTCAGGGACCTCGGGAAGCTTCGAAATGAAACCATGGTAGAACACAGAGCAGAACAGCGAGGACCCATCACCAACGACATTTTACGGGAGTGATATGCTGGAGATAAAAGTAAAATGCCATCACTGAATAAAGCCTGTCTCATGCAGTTATGGTGGAATGGCGTCAGACACGTGGAGTGGGGGGAGAAAAACACATGCCCGGATGTATCTCGTCTTAGTCCCCGCCAGGGAGGAAGTAGGGTCAGGGCTTGTCTATGTGTGTGTAAGGTGTAAGGTGTAAGCTGGCCCAGCTTGACTGACAGCCAGCCTCCCCCAACCAAGCTCAAGCTCACGTGCTGCAGCTGCACGGCAGTCGGATGCGAGTTTGGGACGGGAGCCGAGTGGTGAAGAACTGCATGCATGTGGTAGAATGGCCAGAGGTAGATGCAAGCTGCAGGCTGCAAGCTGTAGGACGAAACAGCGAAGGAGTCAGGAAGCTCGAGGGTGCGCAGTAATAGTCCTACTCAGAGTAACGAAGGAGGGTGGGTGAGTGGGTAGGTGGTAGGTGATAGGCGAAGCATGATAATAATAAGGCATGAGGCACAGCACAAGACAAGACAAGACAAGATGAACAGTAAACATGGTAGACAGGCAGACAAGCTCAGATTCCAAGCCAAGGTAAGTTTTCGGGTGGCACTAGGAGGGAGAAGAGGAGGGAAGATGGAAACAAGATGCAGAGGGAGATAGAGAGAGGTGGAATGATGGCTAGGTTGGGCAGCTGTTGCCCCAAGCTCCCCAAGCTTGCAAGCTCCCTGAGCTGTCTTGTCTATCTTTCCTGGAGCTGGAGGAAAAGGGTAGGAGAAAAGGGGGGGATGGTGGGCGGCGCAGGAGGAGGAAGTGTGTGGCCTGGGCGTGTGTGCGTGCATGCTGCGGTTTACTGATTGTGCATCCTCGACCCGTTCGCCCCGCTCTCGTATATAAACACAGGCGCCCACCACGACCGCACCCTCCTTCCGCCCCGTTCCCTCCGATCTCTTCCTCTCTTCTCTCTATCCATCCCACCCCATCTTCCGTAGACAACATCAATTCGGCCACCGTCCATCCCGTCGCCAATTCTCTCCATTTCGACTCCAGTCATCAACACAATCAATCCAACCAGTCCAACCCAAACCCCATCCACCAAAATGCCTCCCAAGAAGACCGAAGGTGCCACCAAGGCCAAGGCTCCCGCCTCCCACCCTACCTACCAGGTTTGTCGCCTTCGCTCCGGCTGTTATTCATGTGTATCAGTATCTAACATCATACAGGACATGATCTCTGAGGCCATCACTCAAGTATGACACTCTATTCCATCCTCTCCGGCGCATCACGCGTCGCACCCATGTGTTGGCTGTCACGCGCCGACTGATGCACCACGATGTGTCATGACAACCACGCAAGGCAGCCGCCACAGCTTCATGTCTTGTCTGTTCTGTCTTCGATTTCACTTTACTGACGCGTCTTGCCACTTTACAGCTCAAGGACCGCAATGGATCTAGGTGAGCCAGCTTCTACCCCAACTCGGCCCTCACTCGTGTTTCATGCCCCGCTTTTGGTGCATGAGGCCATCGTGACTCGGCCTCGATGTGAGACAGGACCAACGCTAACATTTACCCAACAGCCGACAGAGCCTCAAGAAGTATGTGAAGGCCAACTACAACATCCAGACCCAGACCGACTCCATGTTCGACTCGCTGTTCAACCGTGCCCTCAAGGCCGGTGTCGACAAGGGTGTCTTCGTCCAGCCCAAGGGTAAGCACCTTTTCATGCTCAGTCCTCCCTCATATGCTTTCACTCATGGGGCTTCATTCATTTTATTTCTTAAATGATTCAACACTTCATCTCTTCATTATCCAATTTACTCACACCATCTTGCAGGCGCATCTGGCGGTACCAAGCTGGCCAAGAAGTCCGCCCCCGTCAAGAAGGAGGCTGCTCCCAAGGAGAAGAAGCCTGCTGCCGAGAAGAAGGAGACCACTAAGAAGGCGACCGCCAAGAAGCCCGCTGCTAAGAAGGAGGGCGCTGCCACCAAGAAGGCCGCTCCCAAGAAGGCCGCCTCCACCGCTGCCCCCAAGAAGGCTGCCCCCAAGAAGAAGGCTGATGTGAGTCACCAACACAAGTTGCCATCAAGATGAAGCCGCCCGACTGACAAATAACAATAGGCCGCTGCCCCCGCTGTTGTCGACAAGCCAGCTGCTCTTACCAAGACCAAGTCTGGCCGTGTCGCAAAGACCACTGCCAGCAAGCCAGCCAAGAAGGCTGCCCCAGCAAAGAAGGCCGCCGCTCCCAAGAAGGAGAAGACGCCAAAGAAGGCGGCCTCTACTGCTGCTGAGTCCAAGGCATAAGGTGGTCCAGAAAGAGATGTTTCTGCCGTCTTCACACTTTGAGTTTGTTTTCCGCGTGTAGGGAGGTTCCATTGGCGTTTGGGGGAAACAGGATTGTGGGTTCATCAAAGGGGCTACGTTCAGTGTATCTTGCTTGGGTCGGCACGGCGTGCGCATTCAGGTCGTGGGCCATCAACGAGTGTATTTAGGAGGGGAGACCATGACAGGACTGTCTCGGGCTGTGTGGTGCGCGTTCTGCGTCCAGCACGGTCAGGCCCAACAGTGTTATTAGCAAAGCAGACGGTCACGGAGGGTGGGCTGACAAAGGAAAGGCACTTGTAATTATACCAACGAGTCTTGCTGGTGTTGAAATTGCAAGTTCGGTCATGTTCGCAACAAATGTCGTGTCCTTTAGGTGGCGGTGTGTGTGATTATGTGTGCCTAATTTGTTGAGAGATGGGTCTCAATCCAGGCGCGACGCGTGGTGCAAGGGGCTGGTTTGTTTACTTCCTCCACTGTGTCAGGCCTCACGTGCCAGGTCATTTCGTCCTACTCGACATGGAAATTTCCTTTCAGCTTCCATCTGGATTGCGAATAGGATCTAGTGCATTTCTGAGTGAAGGCATTTTGTGAGAACACGAAGCTTTCAATCCCCAACACTATGCACGAGGACTGGGTGGCCGACGGCGCATTGAAACGACCATCCATCACCCGATCCCCATCCCGAGGTCGCCCGTGCTGTTGTACCTATTTTCAGACTGAGGGAGCATTTAACTCCGTTCTTGAACTGACTTTTTTTGGGATTAACAAATGCATGCTATTTCCCAGGCCATAGTACGCAAGCAAGCGTCTTGTTGCACGTCATGTTTCAGACTTGCCGAGTTGGCGCACCCCACGCAGCGAGACGCATCGTTGACAATTGAAACGGACGGGCGGGCGGGAACGAGTTGGGCTGGCTCACACCCCGTTGGACAATGACGTTCCGACCCACTTGAGGCTGACAGACAGCTCATAGTTCTCCACGTGCATGAGTGCCCAGGCACTCTATGTACTATGCATGTGCTGGCCTACCACATTGCCTTTTATTGCCTGAGATGAGAAAGCTCGAACGGAGGCGAGGAGAAAGGAGACCTTCTTGTCGGGTATGGAAAGAAATGGGACCGGCCCGTCACACACATGTGAAGATCAGGGCAGAGAGCAAGTTCTGGTTACGGTAAATAAGCTCACGGTGACTTGGCCAGCCTGAAGAGTGAGTGACACAGGGTGGATTGGGCTGGGCTGGGCTGGGGTCCAGGTTGGTCGATCGCCCGCCGTTGATGCATCATGGCCCGTGCGGCGCCCGATAAGGAGGATGACGATCTTATCTTGCTTGACCCTGGGCCTGCACCCTGCTCCCTGCTCCCTGCTGCTGTGGTGGTGCGAGACGGGCGGGCTGGCGGGCCATAGGCAGACTAGGACGGGACGGTTACCGGTGGAGACGAGACGTTGACCAACCCAACGGTGACTGTACTGTGCTGTAACCGTAACTCAGACCTCACCTGCCGAACATACTTGCTCTGCTCTCTGCTCTGCTCTGCGCAGCACACCACAGCACACCACAGGCACAGCATTTCCCGCAACATCCCACGACAAGACACGACACTACTACGCAACCTGTATATACCTGCTGGGGAACAATTCATCTCTACTCCGATCGATAGCCTGCCACAATACGACCCTAACTACTTCCCACCCCTCAATCTGTCTCGGCCTGCACCACCTGCAGCCAGGCTTGGCAGCCTTGATCCGATCCCGTCTCATCCGCCCCCAGCGACAAACCTCGCGGCCAAGCTCGGTCAGACCCCTCGGGCTTCACCACCACTTGCCACCTCGACAATGCTACAACACCTTCGTGACATGACAAGACTCCCAGCTTGAATATCCACCGGCCGCCATGGCTTCTGAGTCGGGCTTCGGCTCTCATAATCCCTTCCGTCGCAAGACAACCGCCGCCCCGGGCACTGGAGCTCAAGCTCACGACGGAGCTGGAGCTGGAGCTGCCCCGCCTTCGTCCTCAGTATTACACGCGGACGCACGAGCTCCCACCTTTGGCGACGATGACGCCCCGTGGCCGCAGGCACCACATCGTCCCAGCGGTAACGACTTTGCTAGGTCCCTGAACTTGCTCCCCAAAACCGATGCTCCTCCTCCGACCACCTCGTTTCAGAAGAAGAAGCCCGTCAAGAAAGTTAGGGTTCAGAGCCCCCCGCCCTCGAGTCCCGAGTCCGCCAGCGCCGAACGCTCGTATCCCAAATACCCGCTTCCCCCACGAGAAGACGGCGACAGCAGCAGTGCCAGCTCTCCGTCTGTTAATGGCGAAGCAGAAGACCCTTTCCAGAATGAGGCGCCGCCGCTTCCCGAAGATGCCTTTCCCCCAATGGAGAGGATAGAAGCCGCCCAGCCGCAGCCTTACACCGGGCGCGGGCCGCCTCCCAACCCTTTCCAAAAGACATTAGAGGACATGGAGCAAGCTGCAAAGGACGGCGGGTTGAACTCAGCAGAGCATGCCTCTCCGGCAGGGAAAGGTCTGGACGTTGAGGCCTTCAAGAAGCTACTGCTGACCGGGCAGGGACCCGTTCCCGGGGCTGCCGGCACGTCGGGTTCGGCCACTTTGCACCCCACAGGTATGGCCGGTGATGGAGGGAGCATGACGGATGCCTCGTCGGTATCACGACAATCCATCTTTGAGGCCAATAATCATACGCAAGAATCACCAAGGACGTCACACGAGATATCCGAGCCAGAAGGCGACGAGGAAAAGCGTAGTCTGATAAGTACGCCTCAGCCAAAGCAATCCGGATCACGAAAGAAGTTGCCGCCCCCTCCTCCAGCAACAAGACACGGCAAATCCATCAAGGTCGGACCGGTCGATCAGAACCGGCCTCAAGCATTGGAGCGCCGGGCCTCTGGAGGATTGGCTGATTCGTCGTCCGGCCGGAGGTCTTCTCTCAGTCCTACGGATATCAACAAACCACTTCCTGCGCCTCCGTCGCGATCCGAAAATGACCCTAAGGAGAGCATATTCGACCAGGAAGCCGCAGGCAAACTGCCCGAGGTCGACATTGATCCTGAAGCCGACGTCGTGCCTCCGCCGAGACCACCCACCCCGCCAAACATGTCACATTCTTCCTCTACTCCTGTACAAAATCCAACGTCAACGTTGAGGAAACCCGCCCCGCCTCCGCGCAGAGGGGCGCATGGCAGGTCCGAGAGCAAATCACAGGCCGAGCTCCCCGAAGAACCGGCCACACCCTCTCGCTCTTCGATGGATTCGGTCAGGTCGCGCTCGTCCAGCATACGACTGAGCACTGCTGCTCCAGTCCCGCCTCCGCCGAGGAGGCCAGCTGGCCATCGGTCATCGCCATCTGTTTCTAGCCCCGTCGCGACTACTCATTCCCCTGCATTTCCGTTCCCAGCTGGACCGTTGAGTCCTACTGGTGATGTGACAGGCTTCACACCTGTTCCCTCCCATCTTGCTACCGATGCGAGTAGTACTACAACAGGCTCAAGTACTTCTCTGGCTCCTCAACAACATCCGGGCGTCTCCAAATTGTCGCCACCTCCACCGCCGCAACGAAACCCATCCCTGCGCAAGGGCGGTGCTGTCTCGTCCAACAAACCAAACTCATCCAATCCTCTTGACGCGCCCGCGCGGAAAGCCGGCCGCGAAGGCGCCGTGCCGCCACCTCCGCCTCCGAGGAAAAGGGGCAGCAGCCGTGGCAGCATGGAGGGCTCGGCGCTGGATCCCAAGGGGAACAGTACGGAGAGCTTGCGGAAAGTTTCCGGTGACAGCACCGCTGGGAACGTGCCGCCCGTGGCCGAGGAGATCGAGGTCGCGGATGTGACCCCGTCGGACGAAGGCATCCAGGCAATGCTGGCGGACCTGGACGCGCTCCAGAGGGAAGTGGAGGCCGCGAGGGCGGCTGCTGCTGGGGGCGGTGCTTAGTAGGACTTCCCGTAACCGGCGGAGAAAAGAAATGTAAGGTAGGGTACAGATTGAGTTTTGAAGGCCCCGTGGTGAGGGCTTGTAGTCCATTGCTTATCCTCGTCGTTGACTCAACATCTACATGGTGGTTATTTGTATATAGACGGATGGCGCAGCATGGGGGTGCAAGTCTTGCATGCTCTTATGAAGGCAGCGAATTTTTGTTTAACCTGACTACATGACATTGGGGGGTCATTATGTATATTTAGGCGTGAGGTCGTTACAATTGTTGCTGTTAATAGACCATTGACAATGAGTAGACTTCCATGGGATGGTGAACAGTCCGACGCATCCAAGGGGTGAAGAGATATCTGGGGCCTAGGCTTTGTGAGCAGCATACCCCTGAGGCGCAAGCTAGCTTCATCGACCTGCATCGCCGGCCGAACAGAAGTGCCTTTCACAGATCTGCTCGAGTAAGCAGCATGCAGCCTCCACTCATCACGAGACACGGGAGAGAAGCGGATCCAGTGATGAACTTGATTCAAGAGTAAAACTTGATGCTTCAATACAATTCTAACCCTCAACGCCAGACACCTGTCAATGCAATCGCCCGTCCATGCCACAGACTATCGTGCTCACATCGGCCTCCTGAAGGGGTGCGCCTCCGTGTTGAGGACAAAGTCGTCCAGGCTAATCAGATCCGGCGGCGACAGCGCCAGGTAAAAATATTTGAGCGTCTCGGCGAGCCAGAAACTCTGCAAGACGGTCAGTCAGCCAATTTGTCAGCGAGCAGGGCGACAGCAGAGAAAGCAGAGAGCAATAGCAATCAGCACCACCGTGGATCCCCGATCTCTACTCACCTCCATGTAATCCTCCTTCTCGAGCGGGTACTCAGCACGCGTGACGTCCATGACCGCCGCGTTGGCATACTCAGTCTCGGTGCCGTTACCGACGGCGCGGAACATCTCCCACGCGGCCTCCTGGAACTCAGCGCGCCCCGTCACGCGCCACAGCACGAACAGGCTCTCGATGGCCTCGGGCCGCAGGATATACCGCGGGTCCTTGGCCGTCGTGAACCCCAGCGGCAGGTGCTCCTTCCACTCGGCGCGCAGGCGCCGGCCCTCGTCCCACCGCTGCTGCGACCAGGGGCACTGCTCGCGCGACTCGCACGCCACCGTGTTGAAGCGCTCGGGCATCATGCCCGTCGGCATGGCGCGGTAGGCGTAGGCACACCCGTGGGCGAGCTTGGCGCCGACGTCGACGTAGTCCTCCCGCGCCAGGACCCGCCCGCCCAGCGCGTACGTCCCGCCCAGGAAGCAGGCGAGGTGCTCGCTCTCCGGGTCGAGGACGGCCTGCCCCCGCTGCGGCGCGTTGACGTTGCCCGCCAGGAGCACGTCGTTGCCGCCCGGGAGCATGGGGCGGAACAGCATGTGCTCGTTGGCGGCGTCCATCCACCCCGTCGACATTGCGGCGTACTTGGGCTCGTGGCCGTTCAGCATCGCGTGCATCTTGACCACGTACTCGAAGAGCGAGTCGGCGCCGCTGCCGAGCGAGAAGGCTGTACCTGTCACTACGTCTGGCGTGCTCATCGAGATCCATTGTGGCCATATCCCCGGGAGGTTGGTCTTGTTCTGGCCTTCGTAGAAGAGGTCTGCGATTGGTGCGATGGCGCTGTAGTACTTCGGGTCCCCGGTGAGCTGCGTCAGCCGCGTGAACTCGAGGAGCAGCGTCCCCGGCGACGCGGCCACCACGCCGCCCTCGACCTGCAGGCCCTCGCCGGACTTGCTCTGGTCCATGTCGAAGAAGTCGACCGGCATCCTGCTCTCAGTGTTAAACCCGGCGAACAGCATGTCGCCCAGCTCGACCGCCTTGGCGAGCAGCACGCTGCGGCCGCTGAGGTCGTACGCGGCCATCAAACCACCCAGGTAGCGGATGTTGGTCTCGAACATGTTGACGCGGGGCGACGTGGACTGGCCAAAGTCGATGCGCGCCACGGCGTCGACGGCCTCGTCGAACTCGTCCCGCAGGCCCATGATCCACAGCGTGTCCAGCGCGTCCACCAGCGTCGCCGCCCACCCGGAGAACTGGTCGCGCCCGCCGCCCGACACGGGCAGCAGCGCGTCCTGCATCCACGCGAAGCGCCGGTAGCTGCGCCAGTTCTTCTGGAACAGCGCGCGCACCTCGGCCCGCCGGGACTCGCGCACCGCCGCCGCCGCGGCCGTCTCGGCCGGGAAGCGGTGCTGGATGCGCGGGAGGGGGGCGCCGCCGCCCTTGCCCTTCTTGCCCTTCTTCTTCTTCCCCCCGTCTCCCGTGGGCAGCGGCACCGGGTCGCCGCGCGGCGGGTACCGGAAGCGGATGGCGGCCCAGTCGAAGCTGCTGGTGACGTCCCAGACGCGGCGGGCCGAGGCCTCGTCGTTCATGTGCCGCTCCAGGCGGGCCGACTCGAGCTCCCGCCGCGGCGCCCACGACGTGTAGACCAGGTACACGAGGAGCACGCCCAGCAGCGTCAGCGCCACGTCCTTCCTGCCGAGCCGGGCCCGGCCCGTGAAGGGGGACCGCGGCAGGGGGAGCGGCCCCGACCGGCGCTTCTTCCGCACCTTGTACGGCGCTGGGGGGTACATGTTCATTGCTTTGATGAGACGGATTTCACCCGTGAGGCATTGAACGGGCGTTAGGAATGAAAAGCAGGGTACTTAGGGGGAAGCCTCGTGGGAAAGACAGGTCGTGAGCATGAGAGTGTCATTGTCATATGGGACGACGCTCCCCGAGGGAGCGTTCGGAGCTCAGGGCGAACATTGCCCTTCGGCGTTTCAGGTACCGCCATTCCGCGCTGGTACGCGAGTGGGCTCGAGTGGGAAGAAGGTTCAGGGTCTTTCTTTGTTTGTGGCCAAGGTGTCCGATGCCAAGAACGCGGCAGAAGGGGAGATCGGCCGAGGGTGTTTCGACTCCTGGGGCTTCTCGTTCCGGTTTAGCTTTGGCCCGGATTCCAGTGGGGCTGTGGCTTTTACACTTTGTTCACAGTCAAGACGGCGTGTGCTATTGGGCGCGAAGGCAGCTGTGAGATTACAATCAAAGTAATGTCTATGTGTTAGTTCAGCTGTTTGGGACGCCATTGTACGGAGTCCACAAATAGAACCGTTGGTAGGAGAGAAAACGGTATCAACAATCTCCTTTGGGCTGCTGATCAGTGGATCTTAGTCAACGCCACTTGGCTTTCCAATAGTGTCTCAGCCCGAAATGCAACTAAATTCTAGAATATAATAGAATTTGTCTTACCGCACTCAACCAATCTGGGCGAACAAATAGGGAGGACAAATAGTCACATTGGTACTGAATGGACGACCTTTTGGCGGGCATGCTAACACTTGACGGTGCATTGCATTTCTTGGGTCTATTCAGGCGACTTGAAATGTCGAGACCAAGTGAAGGATGCCCAAAGTCAATTGTGTCAGTTGTCCAGCTGGTTGCCTCCTTGGGTGATGTTGAAAGTATAGTCAAAATTGGGTGAGACAGACAATGTGGGGGTTGGTTATCCAACGTGTACAGCTTCGCGGAGCATATTGCTTTACGCGACCGGCATTGTGTTCTATGGGTGTTCTATGGAAATTGCCTGAAACTATGTGATCTTTATAAATGTGACTCTTAGTGCAAGAGGAAGTACTGAAATGAGGAAGTGGCTGGTCTCGCTAAGTTTGAAGTTCATGACATGCTGGCTCGGGGCCTCCTGCTAGTGACCAGTTGAGTTACGCGGTGATGACAGGCAAGTCTGCACATTTCGGGGCGTGGAAATGGGTCTTGTATCGATCTCATAAATCGACGACGAATCCTCACGTCTGCGCTCGTGCTTACGGCGGCCTTTGGCAAAAAGGCCAGCAAGCCTCCACCACCGCAGCACCGGATCCTCAGGCCGGATTTCAGGCCACATAGACGACAGGCTCGCGCATGGGGCCTTGTTTCATGAAGGATCTGTCCAGTTCGGTTACGCGTCCCTGGCCGTTTGCCAAAAACGGGCTGCCTGTCATCCGTAGGCCATTACTATCGCTTACTCTCAGTCTCAAAGATTGGCCGACAAGGTATATGCTAGGCTCACAGCCCAAGTTGTTTCTACTATGGCGTGTTTTCCCGGTCGTCTCGTGGTACATCATCTTGCACTTCACGCAGGCAAACACTCATCTCTCTCCACGAAGTCACATCATTGGATAAGTGTTTCCGTCATTGATATGTCTCCCAAGGCTTGTCGTCCTGTGCATAAGCGAGGCCGATCGCCTGCGGTCGCGGCCTTGTAGTAGAAAAGTTTCCGTTCGCTCAGAGCCTCTTATCGCAGGTACGGCAAATGGTCTTGGCCATGTAAATCACCATCATCGCCTCATACTGGTGAATATGGGTAGACGGTTCATTTCGCAATGGCTCTGGGAAGGCTTCCAGCGGCTATTTAGAAGTCTCATCGCCGTTGCTTGGCGAGGAATTTGGAACTTGTGATGTGAGCTCCATTCTCATACACATTCATTCTGTATTTTCTACTTGTACATGCTCTGGAGCATGGTTTCATTCATTCTTGCCGTGGCTGGTGCCACAGCCTTTGTAACACAGACACTCGCTCATGTAATTCCAGAGGGCAGGACAGATTCTAGGGGTGTCTTGACTCCTGATCGCGTCCGCCGTGACCTCACCCCCAGACAGTCCGCAAGTGCCACCGCATCCAGTACAGCTGGCTCGGCCGGGTCAGGTCTGGAGATCACGATCACCAACAGCGCCTCGGACAAGATGTACGCCTACATCATGGGTGAGGACTACAACAACGGGAAGAAGGTCTTCTACCAGAACGGTGCCAACACCTGGTACTACCCAACCTACTCAGGAGCGAGTAACGGGACGGCCAGCAAGAACGGCGCGGTCGACTCCGCCTCGAATAATCTCGCCATCGAGATCGAGGGGAACAGCGACACAACGATCACCATGTCCGAATACCTCAACTCTGGGCGCGTATACATCGGCGCCGCGGAGATGACCTTTATGCAGGACCCCTCAGGCAACCTGGTCGAGCCGTCACCAGTTGATACGTCAGACGCCAACTATGGATTCGCCTGGGGTATCGTTGAGCTAGCATGGTCGAACGTCGAGCTCGCTGCCGATCTCTCATACGTCGACTCGGTCGGCCTGGCCCTCGGGATGAAGGTGACGACAACCGATGGCGAGGAGTTATACGACGCCGGCCTGCCTGCTGGGTCACTGAAGAAAGTCTGCGACGAGCTAGCAGCCGTGGGCGACGAGTGGGGCGATATGTGTGTGAAAGACAGTGACGGCAACCTGATCCGCGCCCTGGCACCGTCCAAGTACATCAGTGGCAGCACAGGCAACCTGAGCACGTTCTACGACTCCTATATCGACGAGGTGTGGGAGAAATACGCGACGGCCGAGCTGACCATCAACACGCAAGAGAGCACTTGGGGTCCCAACGTGACCTGCAAGGTGTCGTCGGGGGGCGACAGCGCCATGGTGTGCACGCAGCCCGACGGCGCGACGTACAACTACAACAAGCCCACGACGGCAGACGTGCTGGGGTGCAACAGCGGGCCCTTCACGAGCCAGGGCGACAACGCCTACCAGTCGCGCACGTGGCCGCGGCTGTGCGCCGCCTTCACGCGGTCGACGCTGCTGCTGGACGGCGGCGACGTCACGCCCAGCTCGCAGGTCGGTGCCGCGCAGTACTACACGACCGACGTCACGAACCACTTCTCCCGCATCGTGCACGAGGTGGTGACGCCCGGCGAGGTGGGCACGGGGGCGTATGCTTTTGCGTTTGATGATGTGAATGCGCCTGGTACGGGGGAGAACGAGTCTGGCATGTTTCAGGATGGGAATCCCAAGTCGATTGAGATTGAGGTCCGCGGCACTTGATTCTGCTGCTTTGTTTTTCATTTCAGACACCTGGAGTCAGAGTGACTGATTTTAGAAGCATATCAGCATTCATAGTATAGATGTAAAAGTGACCTCTGCAGAGAATGGATTATTAATGTGATTATTTGAAACGCATCGAAAATCGGTCCTTAAGTATTGTGAGGTTTGCACAGCCTGACAGCCAGGCACCGCCTAATACAACTAGAAAAAGTGCGGGTGGCAGGGACTACAGAGGAGGAAAACAAAAAGTAAATAAAGGAGACCCAGAGGTTTGGATGAGGAGAGAACAGAAGAACCAACTGTCTTGGCACATGAGGGGAGCACTGCCCACCCTGCATGCTGCATGTGGGATGGGGGAAGACGGAGGGACCGAGAGAAACAGCACACGCGCCGAATTTCACTCATCCACCTTGCGCCGTGTCTCGTTCTGACTGACGACCACCCCACTCCAATCAGAGACGGCTAGAGAATTGATACTCTATTCTGATCATTTGCCCGTTGTCAGCCATATTCCTCACGGATACATCTATAAAGTAGGGCGAGTCGTTTTCACTGCTCTTGGCTGCCTTGACGCGCTCAAGCGAAACGCGTCGCAACATGGCCGAGCCATCGCGGCTTTCGTTTCCCATCACCAGGTTTTGCGGCATCACAAGGTCGCTCTGCAATCCAGACGAAAGCAAATTTTCCATCACATTGGAGGCGAATCGTCTCTGCCCCCTATACCAACAATCCAGGAAGTTTCTCAGAGCTCCGAGATACCGGCTTCTTTCTGATACTCAACGCGTACAATCTAAGTCCAGTATATGCAATTGCCAGCCGCTCAGTACCAAGAGTCACGTTAGGAGGTGGCAGCAGCGCTGGAACCCTCTCTCACAAACTTCTGACTTGATGCCGGCGATGTCCACGCATGGGCTGTACAGTGGGTCACGACAACGACGACATGTGTCATACACGGCTAGTTCTCGCCAACAGCCATCTCAGGAACATCACACGCCTCCCACGTACGTCGATCTCTTCGCCGGCATTGGTACATCCCATCTAGTGCTGAAGGAGAATGGGCTCAAGTGCGTATATGCCAATGAACCGGATCCCGAAAGGCGGTTCGTCTTTGAGCGCAACCACGCCTCTGATATGATACTTGACACCCGGGACATCAACCTAGTTCCTCTGCAAGACATACCAAGTCACGAACTCCTGATCGCTTGGCGGCCTCTCCGGCAAGCAGAATCGCGACTGGACAATCTCGAAGCCCGGCGGACCAGGATTTTCGAGATAGTGAGAGGCAAAAGACCCCCTATTGTTCTGATCGGTGGTAGCCAGATTAGCTCGGGGGCGTACCAAAATTTCGTGAAGCCGCCGGGCAGCCGCGCTGCATCTTACAACTTTGCGGCACAGACGACGCAGGAACTGGAGGCACTGGGGTACCGGAGCACGTTTACCTTTTACGACCACGCTGGGTTTGATCTGCCGCTAAGTCGACAGAACCTGTTCATTGTCGGTGTTCGGGCGGACCAGAATGTACGATTTGAATTCAAGCCTCCACCGCGTCAACTCTCGGGGCTCGGGCTTCACAGATGTCTTCTATCCCACGAGGAACTTCAGCAAATAGAAGGCACACTGAAGTTGGAGAGCCAGCTAGTCGATGGCGTGGAGGTACTGCAGCCCCACAGCTCTGCTGGAAGGATCGTCGAGTTGAACTGGACCAACCTCGATGTCCTACCTGATAACCGTCTCCGAAGCTCACATATTCCCGTAGGACGATGGCTCCCCTTCAGAGTTTTAGTAAGCAAGCCGGAACCGAGGTTGATTTGCCATCAGCTCGGGTTTGCCAAGTCCCTGAGTACAGGCATGCAAAGAGATCGGTACCTCGTTCCAGGTCCGGATGGCAAGCCGATGGTACGTCAACTCGTCCTTCGCGAGGCTGCCAGGTTACAGGGATTTAGAGATAGTTACTTGCTTTGGGAGAGTAAAAGGATTTCTCTACAGCAGGTTAGCGACAGTGCTCCTCCGCCAATGCTGGACTGGATCGTGAAAGCATTGAAGGAACAATTTCCTCACATCTTGGCGAGCAACGAGAATCGCATGCAGAAAGATGTAGCCCATCCCCAAATGGATGCGCAGACGACTGCCTAGCACGTGCCTAGGTAGACAGCTGGTTGAGTTGGGGGAGGCCATGGGGGCTGAGTGAGCTAAGCAAATCGGTCTTTTCACCGCAAGCGCCGACGGCACTTTCGTCCAGCGGCGGATACAATCTCGGGACCGATTTCTTAGTATACTCCGCCACGTGTGTCGTGCAGCATCCAACAGAAGATGACGTTCGGGCCATTCTGCTGACTTGAAGTACATAGCCTACCAGCACTTGCCACTCACAGCCGCGCTGACTGGATTTGGGAGTTGATGCTGGGGGAGTCCGACGGCTTTCCAGCAGCGGCAGTGGCACAGAACACACTTGGCTACGGACTATGGCTTGGGACAATGATACATTAATAGATGGGGATGAACTGGTTTGCAGGAAGTTGGGCTTCAGTGGTGAGTTGATGTTTGATATGCGAATGCAGCTATTCTGGCAAAATGTCTACGCCGCCAAGAATCGTCTTAGAGATGCCCAGGTCGCCCAGCCTTGAGGATGGCCCTTGGTCACCTACATGGCCAGAGCCAACGTACTATTATGATGGGAGGCCAAGAGCCCTGCTTGATGAGGAACAAGCAGAACCACGCTCAAGTTTGGAGACAATCGCAACACCATACAATCCTGGAGAGCCCAAGAAGGACCCTAATCTTGTAAGTTAGCTACATGCACAAACGGCTGCTTCAAGCCAAACTTCGCATACTTTATTTTATCTTCCTACCACCCACGACCCAGTGTGATAGAAAACCAGCTAATCACATGAGGACACGAACAAACAGGTGACATGGAACGGCCCAAACGACCCAGAGAACCCCAAGAACTGGCCGATGGGCAAGAAGTGGGCCACCACGATGCTGGTGTCAGCCTTCACCTTCATCTCGCCCGTGTCGTCGTCCATGGTGGCGCCTGCGCTGGAGATAATGGCGCGCGACCTCGGCATTACCAGCACCGTCGAGTCGCAGATGACGCTGTCCATCTTCGTGCTCGCCTTCGCCATCGGCCCGCTCTTCTTCGGCCCCCTGTCCGAGAGCTTCGGCAGGTGGCCCGTCCTGTTGCTCACCAACTTCTTCTATCTGGTTTTCAACCTCGGCTGCGGCCTCTCAAAGACCGGAGCCCAGATGCTGGTTTTCCGCTTCCTGAGCGGCATTGGGGGCAGTGCGCCCTTGGCTGTTGGCGGTGGAGTTCTGAGGTAAGGTTGATCGACACTTCCTCTTGTTTTCTGTTCGCCCTAGAAGCCATGCCACCGGCTCCAAAATTTCAAAGTTTTTGACTAATTCTATCTTAATCAGTGATTGCTGGGCTCCAGAGCAGCGCGGCAAAGCCGTCGGAATATACAGTCTCGCACCACTACTTGGCCCCGTCATCGGGCCCCTGGCCGGCGGCTTCATCGCAGAAAACACCACGTGGCGGTGGGTGTTCTATGCAACGACCATCACCGCCGTCGTAATCCAGTTCGCAGGCTTCTACCACTTGCCTGAGTCCCACAACACCATCATTCTCCAGAAGCGCCGCGACCGGCTGGCCAAAGAGACGGGCAACCAGAATCTGTACATCGCCAAGGACAAGCAGGAAACGCTGCTCCGGGCCATCACCAGCTCCATGGCGCGGCCGACACGCCTGCTGGCCACGCAGCCCATCGTACAGCTGATCGCACTGTACATGGGCTACCTGTTCGGGCTCTTCTACCTGATCCTGTCGACCTTCCCCTCCCTCTATCGCGATGTCTACGGCCAAGGACTCGGCATCGGCGGCCTGCACTACATCTCGCTAGGCGTGGGCTTCACGCTCGGGGCGCAGGTGAACGCGCAGATCACGGACCGGCTGTATAAGAAGCTCACGGCTAAGCACTATAAGAAGCCGCAGAACGAGAAGGAGATGGAGTGCAACTGCAAATGTCAGTGCCATAGCGTGCATGGCAATATGCCTCCAAACAAGCCCACCCCTACGCCCCCCGGCATGCCAAACAAGGGCCTGCCCGAGTTCCGCATCCCATCCATGTTCGTCGGGTCGCTTCTCATCCCCATCGGGCTCTTCTGGTACGGGTGGAGCGCGGAGGCGGCGCTGCACTGGATCATGCCGGACATCGGCATCACCATCTTCGCCGCGGGGTCCATCACCTGCCTGCAGTGCATGCAGGCCTACATCATCGATTCGTACACGCGCTTCGCCGCCAGTGGCATGGCCGCCGTCATCGTCCTCCGCAGTCTGGCCGGCTTCGGCTTCCCGCTGTTCGCGCCTTACATGTACTCGGCCCTGGGCTACGGCTGGGGCAACAGCGTGCTGGGCTTCGTCAGCATTGTCGTTGGCATCCCGGCCCCGTACTTCTTCTGGTTCTATGGTCACAAGCTGCGTGCCGTGTCGAAGTACGCTGTTGGTTGAAGAGGGGTTGGCATCTTCGACTCCAAGACGTCTCGATAAGTTTTATTTAAGGGTTCAACAGGCAAATAAAAGATTGACATTGGAAATTAATTGGCAAAGAATGTACATGAGATTACGACTGCTATGGTCAAATTTTAGTCAGGCCTCTATTCAAACCTATCCACTCCAATCAAATTGGCGCTGAGTTAGTAACATTGCAAATAGTCGAACGAATGAATCTAGCAGACGAATAAGTGCACCCATGAAAAGAGAAGAAATACAGGGGTTCTTGATTGTATTAACTATGTAACTAGCTTAAAAAAGTCCCAAGAGGGCTACTTGTATAGTCGCCCCTCCTGTTGAGCTGCTCCTGAACCTGGAATGGTCTATGAGACCAGAATGTGACCATGCTAAAGAGGAGGGGGTGAATGTAAAGTGAGCTTCACGTCTTGGTTCAACTTGCCTCGAATGCGTTCACAGCCAGCATGCCGGGCATTGGGATATGACCGGGAGTCCAGATCTGGGCCAGGCCTGATATTAGGTGTATGACTTTCAGGCGGGAGGGATTACAGTTCAACGGAATGTTTGGGCCACTGCGCCTGGTGCGTGGGTATGTTGTCGGTCGGGGTCCTGCGCGTCCTTCATCTTGTTGCTGAAGATGAGCAAATCATCTTCGATGTCGCTGAAGCCGTCTGGTGGCAGCTTGTGCTTCGAGGCGTGCCTGATGGCAGGCATGTCGAGTTGATCGGGAAACATGGTGTTCAAACAAGCACAGAGCAGTACTCCTCGCATGAATAGCCCCTGGGGGGGGGGGGGGAGAGCAAGATACAGCTGATGATCCGATTGAGGATGTCTCTGATTCGGATGGTAGATCTCGGTATCTACCAGTCCCCTTTGTTCACATATGGTAAATTCTGGAGGCAGCGTTGTCGGTGTGGTCTGGGCCTGGGGGTAGTAACGAAGTGGATGTTGAAGGCAGGGGTGATACGTTTGTTGGTTTCCCCCTGAGCTGGAGGTCTTCCGGCCCTGGTCTGCTGCTCAAAAGGGGTGAAAATTATACTCGGCGAGTTTTGCTACCACGGCTTTGAGATGTATGAAACTAAAGAAAAAGAGGTGGGCGGGTCTAAAAGATTTGACGATCTGGTCAACGTGACGACGTGTGGATGGCGCGGTGATAGTTTTGATAGTTAAGACTCTGGCTTTACAGATACTCGAGGGCTTGGTCGGTCTGTTCTCCTTGTGTGGGCTTTGGTTGGTTCAGGCTCCGGATTTCGATTTTGAGGACGTGATCTCTCTGCTACGATCCCAATAGGACCCCATGTAACTCCGCAACCAGTATGCGTAGAAGAAATGCAGTATATGTACTGCGTACAATTTCGGGTATTTGGGGTGTGTATTGCTCAAAAAGGCCAAATTTATCTCCAGGCCTTAAAACTACCTATAGTCGCACCACACCAGCAAGCTGCGCATTCTTATTAGTGCCCTGAACACATGAGATCCCCTATCCGTTCTGCCAACGGCCCACTCCACCTGAAGAGTCCAAATATTGAATGCTCCTTAGAAGGAAAACAAAGAGGAATGCCAATGAGCTTGACATGAGGAAATATTCAGTACATGCCAGGACCTACTAGTGAACTATGTAAAGTCCGCCATCATGTTTACAACTAATAAATCGACCTGCATGAGCTGGAATGCCCATTATCGGGGACTAAGACCATATGGCTACCTAGAAGTAGTCTCCACAGTGTAAGGGGGCCAGAGTTACTATGGTTCCGGGTGAAATATTAAACCCCATGCCAGGTCACTTTGGCTCATGCGAACCAGTGGGTCGCGCTCTCATCAGGTCACTTCTTGCCAACAACATTGCAAGATGTACCAAGTGGATATACGCTACCGGGTCGACAGAACCTGACCAGGGCTTCATAATTACCAAAACACCATAGTAGCTGAGACGGTCCTTGCGTCGTCACGGCACGAAGGCTCGATTTGGCTGTAGAAATATGTTGAGTTCTGTTAAGGTTCACCTAACAAAAAGAAAGGCGAAGGCAGCGTAGCTGCGCGCATGCCCTGGAAGCTATTTACATTAAGGCGGTGGGCTGATAAGATAAGACTATCGATAAGGGCCCTGTGGGTTCTAGCCCAGAGGGCCCCGCTGGCATTCAGCCCCACGCCCTGACAGTAGCTGTATGGACGAATAAGCTTACTGCCTACTCTAAACGAGAACGGAAAGATATATCAGCTTGCTGATCAACATTAAACCTATGGGTATCTCGGTCCCTCCGCAGTTGCATGAGTCAACAGTTTTGCGCTGGCTGCTATTACAGCTTGCCTTCTCAATTTTTGTAATTCCATGGGTCCACTTTATGTTGGACTGCCATTCCCAACCCCTTGACCATGATCATGATACCCATGGACATGTTCCGAAAAGAGAAGAGAGAAGAATGTATATATAAGAAGATGAAAACTCGTCCTGACAGTGATACTTACTATCCTTATCCTTAACAACCTATCTAAGTATACTTGCTGAAACCTAGCCTCGAGGTACTTTTCATAATCGGTTCTATTAATTATATTTATTTCAAGATGCTTTTCTCTAAGACTACTATTGCCTTCATGGCTATCTTTGCCCAGGGTCTTGCTGCCGCCACGCCTAAGCTTGTTAACCCCAACTATACTGGCAACAGCACTGCCACTGCCACTACATGCAGCGCTGTTCGCTCTGCCTGCCAGGCCAAGGGCGACGCCAACCAGGCCCAGTGCGCCTCGTTGGCCGCTGGGTGCTGCAACGCCGCCGATACTGTGTGCCGCACCGGCGCCGGCGCCAATATGGCCACCTGCTCCGCCGAGAAGGCCGCCTGCTACGCTACCGCCAGCCTGCCCAACCCCTACGCCAAGCGCGAGGTCGCCGTCGAAGTGTGCGAGACCACCCGCAGCACGTGCATGGCCACCGCAGGCACCTCCGACCCGTCCCTGTGCAACACCCTGGTTGCTACCTGCTGCGACAACGCCCGCGACGTTTGCGCCGACAGGCCTGGTGTGGATACGGCCATTTGCGCTTCTGAGCACGCGGTCTGCTATGCTTATTTCAGCCTGCCTATCCCTGTCTAAATGCTGGATTTTCAAGAGACGATATTTACGCCAACCGGGAAAGATAATGTTGCGCAAGTGACAGGACTCTGGAAGGATATGACGAGGGGACATAATGAGTCATTTAATGGGAAGTGATGCATAAATGTTTAATTATAATATCTAAAAACTCAATGTGACGGCGTGGAACATTGAAACTCATTATCATCCTCACCTTTAACTTCTCCAGCTCTGCACCATGTTTCTTTGAAGCTTCTTGATGATCCCGTGATATGAGACTATCCGAACCGTCAGCACCCCTTTCAGGCCGCATAGTAGCGTATTTGTGGCGAGTCGCGCCACCAAATAGCCGATATCTGCGATGTTGCACATGCGCTTGCACGTCAGTGCAAGACAAAGGGCGTCCGCAAGGGGGAGGAGTTCGGAGATGAGGAGGCCTAGCTCAGTTGGGATCGTTCTCAGCTTGGGGGGTCTGGTTAGTTGTGAATCTTGAGAATCCAACATTTCATCGGCCTCTGATGTTGGACGAATAGTCGGGGAGTTACATTTGGACGAGACGAGCCTCAAGGATTGGTTCTGCTCGCGAGCGGTGCGCATGAGAGCCAGGCGTGATAACCAAGCCCACACCATTCTGTCGCCAGCAGACAATGCCTTTACAGTTGAAACCACGTATCCGCAACGCAGTCTAAGCTGTCGGCCTGATTGAGATGTATGGCGAGACTTGCTCTAGATCCGTGAAGTCTCGCTGAAGTTTTCGAAAACGAGGGAGCTCATCGGCGCGGGCACCGCAATGGAATTTGGCGCTGGGTTAGACTGTCATTAATGTGGCTGAGTAGCCCTACTGAACCGCACAACTAGGATGGAATTTGATGACAACCAAGAACCGTGTACATCGACTAGAGCTGTGAGGGGAATTAAGGGGAACTACCAAAGGCATAACTTGACTTGTACCAAACTGGAGTACGGTAGTCAAGCACTTGGTAGGTATTGAGCCCTTACTACCTACGCGACCTCAAGCTCGGGTGCCCGCTTTGCGGCTACAGTTTTTATAAAGAATAAGTAGGACAGAAAGGGCCCGGGGGGCCCGGGGATGGGAAATTTTGGGGGGGGGGGGGTTGGAGTTGTGGGATGAATTCTTGTGGAATGTGTGATTACCTCCTGTGGGATAACCTCCTGTGGGATAACCTCTGTGGGATAACCTCCTAGGGGATAACCTCCTATGGGATAACATTCTGTGGGATAACCTCTGTGGGATAACCTCTGTGGGATAACCTCCTATGGGATAACCTCCTATGTCATAACCTTCTGTGGGATAATCTCTGTGGCATAACCTCTGTGGGATAACCTTCTAAAGTAATTCAACCACAGGGGGTCCCGCAACGACGTGTTGTGACTTTTGCGAGTGTGGCGGTGTTGTCCCAACAATGGATGCGATAGAGTCAATTTGCAGCAGAGATCTGGAAGCATACAGTATAATGAGGTCGGGCCGTTTTCTGCTGCTTCCAAATCGACCGCAATATTCCTTGTACGGCCTTGTAGCAGTGACGGGCCTCAGTGAGTGCGGAAAGCTGCCAGGAGCCAGGCCTCCTATCCCGCCCGCCCGTGTCCAGTCCATTACTCTTACAGCGGTGACCGAATCATGGTACATGATGACGGTGGAGTAAAGTTGATCGATTCGGTTGAGAACGAGCTGGCCTTGTTTAGTGTATGTTAGGTCGTAGGGGAGGTCAAGGTAATTTTCGCGCTGGACGTCACCGAGCGCGGGTGAGGTGTGGGCTAAATAGAGGACAACAACCTAGATAATTGTTCAGAAGCAAGTGGATAGTTACTACTGTCGGCCAATTCAATCGTGCCCTACTCACGCTCCCAAATAAATGGCATATATCTCACCTTGACCATTCTCCGACCACATGGATGCAATCAATGCCGGCTCGGCTTCCGTCGAAATCGATTGAATTGACACGGCTCTTACAGGCAGTGCACCAACGCACTGACAACACCATAGTAGCTCGAAAATACACCGCTCTAGACACGTGATCGTGTCTGCGCTGTCTGAAATGCTACCTCTTTGGTGTTTGAGCTGTCGAAGTGAATTCATAGCTTAGTTGCGACAGCGCAGTCCTAGGGATACATGGCCTTTGCCCTAATCAGGACCCGAGACGCAATGACATGTACTACTTGGCCTTGATAGTGTCCTAGATGCTGCCGGACGACTATAAAATGGAAAGATACAGTGCCTTCTGGGTGCCTCCGTTCTCGATCTCGTTGCATCATTGAAATTCAGGAGGGACACTAGGTGCTTCCTTTTGGCAGGAGATCAACTCGAACGTGGGTTTATCTCTAGCGACAGCAACTTCACAATTGGGTGCTCATTCTGACGTCGCTCTATGACAGATCGTCCACAAACTTCACCCATTTCACCAGGGAGGCAGAACACCTACCAAGCAGTCATGCGTGCTCCACCTCTCCCCGCCCTACTCGGGCTACTCGCTGCACTCACTCCTTCCACTCTCGCAGCACCAGCGGACAGCATCAGCCCGGCCCCATCCGCGCAGCTGGCCACGCGAGAGTCCGCCCTGTCTATGGGCGGCATCCGCGACCTGAGGTGCTATAACAAGATGGAGGGCTGCAAGTACAAGGACGTGCACGAAGACAAACTCACCGAAAATGCACAACAGCTGTGCGACTCACTCAAAAAGGTCTATGCCGAGCCTGGCTGGCAGGGCATCGGCGCCCACCACACCAACAAGTACTGGTACGCGTACCACGTCAAGGTCGTGTGGGTGCCCCATTGCACGCTCCCTGAGGGCCAGGAGCACCAGAGCATCTACAAGCCCGAGATCGGCGCCACCTGCTACGATACGATTTGGTATACCTGGAAGAACTGTAAGAATAATCACGGCCGAGGCGGCAGTATCAGGATTGGGTGTCTGGAGTACCACTTGAACATCATCAATGGTGCTGAGGTCGGAATGGAATACTGTCATAACCTGCCGTTTGACAACTCGACTACGCATCCTGATTATCTTGCCTGAGGGGGGTTCAACGAAAGTTAGCTATGGTCCTCTGGCTGTCTAAATACACTGTTGTGTTGGGAGCGAAAAGTTGCTCACCATGGCTTTCAGTCCCATGCTAGTACGACAATCAATGAAATCACATTCATTACCTCTTTGGATGCCTCCCGGTTGACGCTACCAAGGGTCAGGGCCCCAAGCAGAGGGGTATCGGATCTTTGGATCGATAGAAGAAATTGAAATTCTAGATGTGATTCCGAAAAGGTAGGGTCATAGGTACGGACCAATATAAGATCGACCTTAGATCCAACGCTGATTGAATTCCGGCTGTATAAATGCTCAAGGTCCTTAATTATTGGTACAGTCGATCTAAGCTCAGGGCCAAGCTTTCTGACAGCAGCAGCAGCTCCACATGGTACCAGTCGCAGGTAGACACGGGACACCGATATTCGCCAACTTTGTGTAGATCCTTGACGTCTAGGCCATCACGTGGCCATCTAATCAACAGACATTTGATACTTAATACCTGGAGAGATTATAGGATCAAGACCACCGTCATGCGGGATGTAACAGCGACCATGTCAGCAAACATGATGCCCTGGTTGATTCGAAGCGACAGGCTGCTATTTCCCAAAACGAGAAATCTAGGCCCTAGGACAGCGCAAATCATCAAAGGGCACAGAACGTCCTCGGAATGGTGGCCGCCCGGAATAACAAAGGAGGTTGTCATTCTTCCGCGAAGACTCCAGTGTGCTGGAGAGCCCCTGCAAGGTGCCTGAAGACCAGGGCTCCAGGCGGCAGAACCCATGCCTAGCGCGGCAGGCTAAGCTTCTCGGGGTGCCATAGGGCTCGCGATGCGGCTGAAACTCGGATCTGCGGCTCTGTTCGTCTCACCTCCTCCTTACCTACTCCCACAACGGCAACTAGGCGACATGCGACGATAAGCTTTTCGCCGTAGCCACATTCGACGGCTGGCCTGTCGTCTTGAGGCGCCATGGGCAGCCCCTTGAAGCGAATCCTCTGGCACCTCGGCTGCAGTCGCCGTCCAATCGCTAGACTTCCCAGCGTGACAGGGCTGGACTCAAGGGAGGCGTGCCGGTCGTTACGTGAAGGACGTTGCCATCGTCACTAAGCCACGACATGCACCATGCAGCACATCCCATGCTTGGCAGACTCTGGACAGGGCTGACCCCTACCGTGCGGCGCTCGACATGAGGCAATCAGGCAATCCGGCGAGAACCTCGCCTCGAGCTGCGCAAGCGACGTCACAGGTGCCGCCCATTTTTCCTCCATTCGATGCCACTGCGTGGTGATGGGGGGTTTTCTAGGCATGGAACACGGGGCCATCACGTCTCATATTCCCAGGGTCATGATCGACGAAAGGGTGCTGCTGTTGTGTACCATGGGCGCTGCGAACTATGATCGCTTATGATCTGCTAGGATCGACTTCGTCCCAACTTGTGAGCCGCCTTGGTATATATAAGCCTGTGCTGATCTCTCTCGTTTCTTTCTTCCTTCTGTCAGTCCAAGTCTATCTATCACCAACTGTCATCTCGTCTGTTGCTCTCTCGGCCCCGCTGCCATCCAGTCATTCTTTACTGCGAGTTCTGTGAACTCTTTCCATTCTTTAATAATCATCTGATTTAATTCTATTCACGGCATTGACTGCATTCACAATACCCCTATCTAACCATAACATTTCCACCTAAACGAGATCAGTCAAGATGAAGACCTACATTACCGCCGTTCTTGCTGCCTATCTGGCCGTCGCCTCAGCTGCGCCCGCCGCCGACGACGGATGCGATGTTGCACCGCCAGCTACCACCCCTTCATGCACGACCGTCACCCAGACGGTTCTGGCTACCAACGCTGCGTCCATGATTTCTACCTTGAGCTCATCCGCCGCGAGCGTGCAGACAGCCGCTGTTTCTGGTAAGTCACAGGTCTCTCACACATTCACTCACCAAATACACATATACTAACCTCAAGAACAGGAACCAACGTCCAGAAATTCACCGGCACCCTCGGCGGCGCTCCTCCACCAGTTGTTTCCTCAGCAGGCGACCGGCCCTTCTCCGTGAACGGTGACACCTTCGTGGGCTCGGGCGCGGCGCTGGGGCGGTCCTGCGACGTGCAGCACAACGCGTGCGCCAACGCCGCCAACTCGGGCCAGCTGTCCGGCGGCGTGCAGCAGTGCGACCAGCAGAACCAGGAGTGCCACTCGGCCAACAGCCTGAAGAAGCGGTACACGCGCGACGTCCGCCCGGCGCTGCCCAAGCGCGCCGCGCTGGACCTGGGCTCCTGCTCCAACGCGAACATTCTCTTCGAGGCGGGTCTCGACGGCCGCAACACCGAGGCGTTCATCGCGGCCAACCAGCAGGACTTCAACCACGGCTCCGCGCTCAACATCGCTGTCATTGCGGGATTCATCTGCCAGCGCCTCGGTAGCCCCTGCAACGCGCCTTCGAATGTCCAGCAGTCCTGCGCCCAGGCTAGCTCTGCTGCTGTGGCGGCGACTCAGAACCAGGCCGCTGCTGATGCGTGGAATGCCATCATGGGAGACGGCTCTGTCGGTGGTGGCGCCGCCGCTAGTGCTCCTGCTGCTGCTGCTACTCCTACCCCGGCATCCTCTACTACGTCGAGTGGTGACGATACCGCCTGTGATGTTGAGCCGGCGGCGGCTGCTACGCCGACTTCTGATGTTGTGCTGATGACTGTTGTCACTTGCAACTGAGGGCTCTGACAGGGCCCGGGGAGTGTACAGGCAAGGCATACAAGGGGTGGCGCTGGGAAGGGGTTGAAGTGAATTTGGGATGTTGAATTTAGCTACTATGCGTCGAAGATCATAGCAGTGCATAAGGAGAGGTCCATTGAGACATGGTAATGAGAAATGAAATATAAAGCAGAACAACAAGGCACAATCTGGTGCCGTTCAATATTGCGTTTCCGTTGTGGACAGTGTGCGCCACTGTGTGATTGAGATGACTGCACTGTGCCTGGACCAGCAGAAGCAGACTTGCGTACACGCAGTGTGAGCATCATCTCCCAATATCTCCCAATATCTCCTACACCCCACTTGCGTTTCAACGTCAAACAACACTCAACTTCCGCTCCTCTCATTGAATTTCCAACTTGCATCACTGTTCCCTATACTCAGCGTACTATTTGCATTTCCCTGCACCACAGCCGCAAGCCTTGTAAAAATGGCCACTTCACGGGTGGCAAAGGGCATCCTCTGGGGCACCATCGGCACGAATATCTACATCTGGGGCAAATGGCATGTCATACCTGACATGGAGGCCGCAAAGCAGGGTCGGGATTCACGAGCTTATAAGAGGGCAGTAACGAGACACCACGAATACATGGTCGACAACTACACACTCTCCCGAAAGAACATCGCCGAGGGCCGCTGGTGGACCCTCCTTACCTCGGCCTTTAGCCACTACGACCTGGCTCACCTGGGCATTAACATGCTTGTCCTTCGTTAGTCTTCTTCATTAATTCAGCACTCATTTCTCTTCCACCTTAGTTGTCTCTTGGAGACTCGTCTAAAGCACGAGGCCCCATCGACCTACTGCCACCCCCCACCCCAGACCTCGTTGCGGCAGGCCATCGTTTGCTGCACCTGCTGATCACGTCCACAAAACAAAGACAGCATAGCTTCATTAGGCTTCTCGAGGGCGATAGGCCTCGGGCCCGTCCGGATGACCATCCTGGCCCTCGGCTCGGCGGCCGGCGGGTCCCTCGGCGCCCTGTATGACTATCAGCAGAGCGCTCAGGCCGGGCTGCCGGAGTCGCGCGGGCTCGGCGCGTCGGGCATGGTGGAGGGAATCATGATGGCTACTATGCTTGCCCAGCCACGGTGGCCGGTACGTGCTTACGATGCCCATCCTCTCCGTTCTCCCGAGCCCTTTGGATCTTGGAGACGGATTTTCTCTTCTTACTGGACAGACATCTACTGTCTCCTCGACTCTTTGTCAGAAATGATTGTCATTCACTGACACAATCACAGATGATGGTCTTCCCCATCCCCGTCTCCATCCCGTACTGGGGCGTCGTGGCGGCCTTCGTGGGCTACGACATGTATCGGCTGTACGAGGAGAGGAAGTCCGGGCAGAGGCACGTTAACTGGATAGGCTCGTACACCGGCTACGCGGCCCACCTGGGCGGCGCCGTGTTCGGGACCGCGTTCTACTTCTTGGCGATGAGGAGGGGCATGCTTCTTCGCAGGGCGGCTTGGCTTCAGGGGCGGCGGTGATGGACTCTGCCACCCGGCTTTAGGTCTGCCATGGGGTCTGAGGGAGATCCTTTGTGGCTGATAGGAATTTTTTTCTATCATTTTCCGGCATTTGTCCAGCGGTAGGATTCTGGCGCACGAGGCATTTGATGCGGACGTCCCGATCTGAATGAGTTGAGGACCACGTGGGCTTGACCCTCTGTTGGACTGGAGGAGGCAGTCGACGCATCACGCCATTTGAGTTTCCAACTTAAAGGGCCAACACAGCTAATTTGAGGTCACCAGCCTTGAGACAAATAGCTTCAGCCTCCCCCGAGAGCACACAGACACATTGTCTGATTTCATCGCCAACCGAGATCAGGAGTGTAAAGTACGCCACTCGACCACTATACATGTGTACTCACTGCTGGCGCGGGGAATCGGACTGCGTCGTTTATGAAAGCCTGCGACAGTGACTTCCTTTCCAGGGCAGAAGCTTGAGGTGAGACACCACATGCCTCCCTGACTCACATCTGCACTGTGTCTCGGTCGATGGGGCCTGGCTGGGTTACTAGTTTCCGCCAAGATGGTCACACCGGCGGAAGAATATGAACTTCCACTGTACGGTCTAACGGCTGTCACTGGTCATGGAAAGCTCCGCGAGACATACAGGCCGACTCACGTTGACACTATTCATTGAGAAGATAGACAATTGCGCTCCTAGAAAGATGGACACCGCTATGCAGCAATAAGACAATCTCACTTTGCGTCTCTATGTTTAGTCTACCAGATTTTCTCTATGCCTGAGAGAGATACGCACGCTATCACAAACAAAATCAACCGGCGTTGGTCGCCTCAATGGTTATCCCTAGGGGCAGGTTGCACCTGAGCCACGCGCTGGAACTGCACAGCACGCTTCAGCACCATCCCCTCGCTCAATCCTCCGACCTCGCGCCGGAAGATATCCTGCCACGGCGTCTGACTCGGCGGGCCATGGTACCCACCTTTCGCCTCGAGCTCCGCGCGCCTCGCCTTGAGCTCCCCCTCCGGCAGCAGGATATCGACCCTCCGCGCGTTGAGGTCGACCCGGACACGGTCGCCGTCCCGCAGCAGCGCGAGGTTCCCCCCATCTGCCGCCTCAGGCGTGGCGTTCAGGATCGACGGCGACCCGGACGTGCCGCTCTGGCGCCCGTCGCCGATGCACGGCAGGTCCTTGACGCCCTGCTTCAGCAGGCGCGCCGGCGCGTGCATGTTGACCACCTCGGCGGCGCCGGGGTAGCCGAGGGGTCCGACGCCGCGCATCACCAGGATGGTGTGGCGGTCGATGCCGCCGGCTGCTGAGACCGCCTCCAGGCGCGCGTGGTAGTCCTCAGGCCCGTCGAACACGGCGACGCGGCTCTCGAAGGCGTTGGGGTCGTGCGGGTCCGAGAGGAACTCTGCGCGGAACTCGGGCGAGATGACGGATGTCTTCATGATGGCCGAGTCGAACAGCGTGCCTGTCATGTGGAGGAAGCCCGCGTTTTCCTTGAGCGGGCTGGCGAACGGCTTGATTGTGCGACGGTCCCAGGTCAGCTTGCCGCGGACATTCTTCTCTGTGCTTTTGCCGCTGCACGTGAGGGCGTCTGGGTGTGGGAGTCTCCCTGCCTCGAGGAGCTCGGCTAGGATGGCTGATAGGCCGCCCGCGCGGTAGTAGTCCTCGCTGAGCATCTCTCCCGCTGGCTGCATATTGAGGAGCAGGGGGACGGTGAACCCCAGTCGGTCCCAGTCATCGAGGTCTAGAGGCACTCCTGCATGCTTTGCAACGGCGTTGAGATGGATAGGTGCATTAGTGCTGCCGCCGATAGCGGTATTGGCTACAATCGCATTCTCGAAGGCTTGTCGTGTCACTGATATGGCGGTTAGCATTAGTGAGACATACTCATTTATTGTGAGGGGAGTGCATAGAATGGCAGACTAGGATTCAGCGGATGTGTCTGTCAAAAAGGGGGCTCGGAATATTCCGCACCAATGAACGATGTGGATTTGGCGAAAGACGAATAGTTTAGAGTACTATGACTTACTGATATCACACGGTTTGAGATCCTCGTGAACCATCTCAACAATTCGAGTGCCTGTCTTGTAGGCCATCTGTGAACGCTCTCGATACGGCGCTGGGATTGCTGCTGAGCCGGGAAGAGCCATGCCCAAAGCTTCAGCAAGGGCATTCATGGTGGATGCTTAGTTGGTTTTGGAGTTAGCCATCTGCCCACAATCAGAGTGTAGAACATAAGTGTATGTTGAGTAACGGATATAAAAATCAGAAACTCACCTGTGCCCATGGTGTTGCAATGACCAGGCGAAGGAGTTCCGCTCGCAACCATGTCGCCCACCTCGTCATCCGCGATATACCCCGCCGCATGTAGCTCACGAGCTTGCCACACGACTGATCCCGAGCCGACCCTCTGTCCATTCACCCAGCCGTTCAGCATGGGCCCAACGTTGAGACAGATCGCGGGGATGTTGACAGTTGCAGCCGCCATGAGGCACGCCGGAGTCGTCTTGTCACAACCCGTAAGCAGCACCACGCCGTCGAAGGGGTAAGCGTGCATGAGCTCCACCAGCCCCAGGTAGGCGAGGTTGCGGTCGAGGGTCGCCGTGGGCCTCCGCGTGCTTTCTTGGATAGGGTGCATCGGGAACTCGAAAGCGATCCCGCCGGCGGACCGGATGCCCTCACGCACGCGCTTGGCCAGCTCAATGTGATGACGGTTGCACGGGGCGATATCGCTCCCAGACTGGGCGATACCGACAATGGGCTTGCCAGACGTCAGTTCCTCCTTGGTCAGTCCCGAGTTGAGGTAGCGCTCGATGTAGAGGGCGCTCATGGTGAGGTCGTCCTTGCGAGTGAACCAATTTGCCGAGCGCAGCTTCGGCTTGGGTCTTTCCGACTTGTTCTTCCCCTGGAGCTTCGCCAGCTTCGCCTCCACCTCCTTGGTCCTCGTCCGCAGTTCCGACAGCTCCTTCTCGTAGTCCTCGATGTCGGTCGGGTTGCAGTCGTTGCTGCAACCCCCGCAAGGCGCGTCACATCCCATGACTGTTCTGTCGCTCACCGTATCGGATAGAAATTCAAGCCTCGATTGTTCTCACGTCGCACGATCGCGACTGAGCCTAGGGATGGTTGGTCCTCCGCAGTTCTCACCGCAGCCCGGACTCTCCAAGATTTTAAACCTCCCGTGAGACTCCGACTCACTTCCGCAGCATGTCACTGCTTGGTGAGGTTGGCTGGTTCCCGTCTGCATTGGCCCTCTCAACGGCGGGCAGTGACTGGGCGAGGCAATTGAGGCAGCTGATGATGTGAAAGGTCGTCTGGCTCCGTCGATTCAGTTCGAGCAGTCGTCATTGGATGCGGTGAGTGATTTCGCGGTGAAGTCGGATCAACATGAGCCAAGCCGTTATAAACTCGGCTCTAGCCTCCGGCGCCGGCGGGGGTTCGGCCTGCATAATATCGTATCTCAACCTGGACAATGTGGGTCGCCGTTAGCAGGTATAATGCTGCCCGGGTATCGTGGACTAATCTCATAGGCATGAAACGCGTGCAGGGTTTTATCAGCAAACACTAAAAAGCCAATGGAAGAGCGCAGCTCCAACTCTGAGCTTGTTTCTGGTCAAATCAACCCTCACCGGCTCGTGCCTCACCAATTCATTGCCTATCTTTTCCATACATTATCATCTTCCCGACCGCATGACGTGGAATCGCCCCACTATGAGACAAACGCCAATGCCAGAGCAGGCTTGAGACAACGAGACGAGCCCATTGAACTCAGTGCAGAACGGGAAAATCTTGGGAAGGCCTGATCATGCATGCGTTGGGTTGAGCTTGGACTTCAGGCTTTGAAAAAGCAATGAGAAGGTTTGATTCTTCCCGCGAAGAAGAAAAGCGGCATTGACGGAATGACAATAGGAGCACCTAGCGACGAGAAACTCAATCTGATTGTCAGGACTCAGTCTAGTCGGATTTGTCCACATGCCGTCGTTGCTTCTTTTGGCGATTGTGTTCAACGTTCAACAGTCTCATGCAGCCCTTATCCTCCACTGATGAAGGTCTTTGAGCTAGTTGAGAGTCAGGTGAATGGTATTGTGGGGATGTCCCATGAAGACATTCTAAGAAAAGGGAAGCAAAGTGCACGGCTCTCATCACCAAAGACATTGAACCATTGAGGTCAGTTGCCAATGAGCAAGCGAGATGCTCCATTCCCATTGAAATGGAATTAGACTGCAATCCGCCGCACCTCTTACAATGACAATCTCGTCACGCCACTCGGCCATTCCTCAACAGAGCAACTTCTGGCTCAGTCTTTTCGCTTGACACGCGAATGATGACATCTCAGCCAGCATCTTCGCGAGTATGACGAGAGGATGAGGTTGATCTCGACGTTCCCAACTCGAGTTGCCAGGCACTTGCCGCAATAGTCACCATGCAGACGTCGAGAATATGAAGTGTGAGGGCCAGAGATTTCAAGATCTGCGCCGACCATCTGTTGACGAGAGACAAGCAGCTGTGTGGCAACGAGAGGTGCAAGCGACAGAAATATAATGAGAAATTCGAGCAAGGAGCCAGCACACAGGTATACGGCGTGTGAACACATACAGAAAAGATCGCCACATGCACCGATACCGCCCATGCCAACGACTCGTCCAAAACCCGCAGCAAAGACATTCTCTAACGGCAGGGCCATCCGATCAGGGCAACAGACACCCCTTAATAGAAAGTGCCGTTGCGCCTTTTCCATATCCAAGCTCGTGCTGGCATCATGTCACAGGTATCTGCTGTTTGTTCGAGGGCACCTCGAGTCGTGACGATATCAGCGGTAGTCTCATATGATCTTGATGGTCGGCGATTGTGGACGGGACATTTCTACTCGAGGAAAGTGACATCCGTATGGCTGTGTCGTCTCTCTGGGGTCTTCGGCAAATCTCCGAGCGAAAATAATGGAGTGATAGTCGCATCTGGCCAAGTCCAGAGCCGGATTGCGGCACGGTCGAACACTTATTGTCCTCTGGGCCTAAACCTCCTGACATAGAACGTGCCCTGACATGTACTGAACAGATGGCTCAGAGAGATATTCGAAAGAAACATAATGAAGACGACCGGCGAAATCTCCACGCCGGATGCCTTGTCTTAGCAGCTGGACTAGATACTTAAACACTTTAATTCAAGAGTGATACAGCTGTCATCTTCGGGAATACCCGTTAGGGCTGGTAGGGAAGATCATCACCTACCTAGGAAGGAGGTTGTTTACTGCAGCAGCTCGACTGTCTTCCTCCTTGCAACGTATGTTTGTCTGCAACGTCCAAGACAGATCGCGATGACCATGTCTTAGTTGGACAGGGCAGCTATATTTTGTTCTATGGAGCATCGCGTTCAATGCCACTGTGATCGCGAGCTCAAGAAGATGCATGTGAGCCCCCGGGGCCTCCGATGCCACGGTCCATTCGCTTGCGGGGTCTGTTCTTAATCCGTCTCCCGCGCGCCTGCATGAATAGGTCCTAGTATCGACTAGGTATGCCCGGCACGCCAGTTCCTTGGTGGATCTTTCGCTCCTGCTCGTGCAAACTGGTGCTGGCAGGAAGGAGATTTTCAGGAACATTTAGCGATTTTGATTACTTGTCAATAAACGATCGCATGTAAGATGCCTTGGGTGTTCACCCTCGAAACTCTCATCTCATGTCGATTGGCTTCCCTAGGGGGCTGGCTAAGTATACTAGTTGGAGTAGATAGACGGACAGCCTTACAATGTTTCAAAATCTAGAGCAGTCTTCCTTGCCCAAGTCCAGGTACCCAGACTTCCAGCAAATGATCAGGGGACAAGGATGACTCGTTGCTTACGCCATTAGACGGACTTTTGCCATATGCAGTATCTAAGTTGAGATTTTCCCACACTATTTCAAAGTAAACAATGTATCCAGTACCATAGTGGATTTGTCAGGGAGGCAGGCGGGTTGGGCGATCACCCCACAATTTGGTAAACGACGTAGTAACGATGCACATGTGAGTGCTGGGAAGGTTTTGCGCCACACCATGGCAGCTGGATCAGACAGGCGGCCTGAGGCCGGCATCCCCCGTTTACGCGTAATTGTTCGTGGTGGAAACAGGTTTAGTCCAACCTTCCGCCATTCTGGACACCAGCATGAAAGGGGTATCTCCCGTGCATTTCAAAGCAATTCGAGTCATGACAGATGTGCTTACCCACCGGACCAACATCCGATGAACCAGAACAGACCGGTGATGCTTCCCAAGGTGGAGATGCGAGATTGAGGCTTAGGGGTGATCGGCTAGGATACTACAGGGCCATGGATAAGGTATCATCCGGGCGAATACCCAAAGCAGAGTGCCATGCAATGTGGAAGTTTATGTCACTTAAGCTTATCGATGATATACCCACTCTTTGTTTTCTTATGTTGCAATAAACTGGAAACCTGACCAATGCTGAGTGATGAGGATCGCTCCGGTACTCCATCGCGACGTTCGCGCCGCGAGGCGATGCTTTTCTAGGTCCACTGAAGGACGTGGCCAGGTAAGGGGCTGGACTGTTGGTATGTTGTCAACTGGTCTAGTTGTCCAAGGAAGAAGGAGATAGAAAGGGAGAATCTTATACATATAAGCCAGCAGGTTTCCTTCTCCCTGATTAAGGAAGGATCTCACTCGTGCCCAGTCATCCTCAGATCTTGTCCAACAAATTGATCGGCTCCTCCCTGGCTGTATTCGCTCTTTTGACAAAATGTTTCCTCAGATCCTAGCCCTCGCCCTGGCGACAGGAGCCTTGGCCGACAGTCTCCTCTCGTTTCCTGTTGCTCCTGTCATAGAGAACCGCACAATCGATGAGATCTACAAGGCTGCGCTCGCCGAGGGAGGCACCGTCACCGTCTGGGCCGGCGGTGATGAGAAGAACCAACAGAACTCCCTGAAGCAGGCTTTCGAGGCTGCTTTCCCCGGCATAACGATGAACGTCACCGTTGACGTCTCTAAGTATCACGACGGGAAGATCGACCAGCAGCTGGATTCCGGAAACGTCTTCGTGGATGCTACTTATCTCCAGACGCTTCACGACTTCCCCCGCTGGGCCCAGCAAGGATCTCTTCTCAACTATGCGCCCGTTGGCTTTGACCAGATCCACCCAGCTTTTAAGTCGACGGATGCTTCGTGGTACGGCCTGTTCTTCATCCAGTGGGGAATTTCCTACAACAGTGCCAAGATCCCTGGTATCGACATCGCCGAATATCCTGATTTCCTCCAGGAAGGCCTGAAGGACAAGTTGGTCTTGACATACCCCAACGACGATGACGCAGTTCTGTTCCAATTCTACCTCATGTAAGCATTTGTCTTTTAAACATGTTCCGTTCCGTTCTAACGCAAGAACCCAGCATGAAACAATACGGAGAAGCCTGGTTCGACAAGCTCTTGGATCTGAACCCAAGATGGGTCCGCGGCACGCAAACCCCAAGAACCATCCTCGGAGCCGCCAACGCCACCGAGGCGGCGACCTTCACGTCGTCTGTCTCACCCGCCGGCTCGAGCAACGGGAGCACCACCATCACCGCGTTCCCCGAGAAGGGCCAGTTCGTGTCCTGGGCGCAGACCGGCGCCATCCTCAAGGGCGCGCCCCACCCCGAGTCGGCCAAGCTGCTGTTCAACTGGTTGCTGTCGCCCGAGCACCAGGCGTCCGGCTGGAGCGTGCGCAAGGACATCCCCCTCCCAGATAACTTCCCGTACCCGGACATCTGGCACATGAACGGCACCAACCCGACGTCCTTCAAGGAGTTCATGCTGGACCGCCCCAACGTCGAGAGGCTCAAGTTGTTCTTTGAGGACAAGATCGGCACCGCTCAGGGCCTGAGCCCCCTGATTGATGACTTGTAAAGGTAACGAGCTTCGCCTGCCAAGTGTCCCGAAAATCATTCAGGAGACTAGCTTGTGTGTTACAGACATGTCTCTTTTTCATCTGTATATATTCATGTAAATATCGAGAAGAGCGTTCGGAATGCAAGCGATGTCACCGTCCGTCATCGTCACTGAAGAAATCGTCGTCATTGACATTGACTCGAGCGAAACAATATGTTTAAGTTTCGGTAGGGACGACCTGTCACTGTGAGATCTGAGATCGAACTTTATGCTCTGCCAAACTCTATCATCTCATGACATTTGGACCATCCGGAACACCCAAAACCCACCCAAGACGCCGTACCAAACCGTGAAAGATTCCTTGCACACCCTTGAGATAAAACCCAACCCATTCCAACCCCAGCGTATGGATTCTTTGACGTGCTCAAGTCAAAGCCATGTCCATCAGCAACAGATCTCGCAAAGCGCGAAGCAACAACACGCAGCCAAGAGAACCTCGCAGAGGCCACCCCTTCCACCACCCCTGGTATTCGGCTCATCCTCCTCAGGCGATTGCTGTGATATACCAAAAGGATTCTGTCGGGAGTAGCTGTCCTTGGGAGGACTTGCTGGCGGTGAGTCGCTATCTGGGACGGTCGAGCAGGGGCGTTCTGGCAGATAGCCGGCAGGCGGTGTCACAGGCATCGGTGACTTCTCCATGACTCGACTCGGCGACAAGCAGCTCCCTGCGAGCTCGGTGTGGACCATGTTGAGATAAGTGAAGGAATTTTTTCCGTTTGTTTGTTTGATTGCGATGCGACAAAATAGGCTGTGCCGACAGCGATAACGACAACGACAACGACGTGGAGTACTTGGAACACTGGGAATATCACCGGTTACCCGCGAGATCCAAGGAACATCAGTAGTTGGAAAATAAGCGGGCCACGATATTTATTCTGCAGTAGAGGCTGATCCCATAGGCCCGTTGTTGCTGCTAAAAGCAGTTCGCTGATAGAGCGTAAGCAAGCATTTTTCGATACATCTGATGTGCATGGAGGAACGGCCTGCAACGGCAGGATTCAGCTGCGCCGTGGGGAGCGCTCACGGATTTGGACCTGAAACAGCTCTCTTTTCCAACCCGTGCTAAAATTGGGGATCGCGCTGATCCGCCAACAACCACGGCAAAAAATAAGCTGGCCTGTGGGACATCGACGAGGTGCAGGCGTGGCCTCTCCCATGGGCCTCTTTGGGCTGCACAAGGGCGGCGTATGAAGTCATCTGTATCAGACAACGGATCTGCACATTTCCGTATATACGAGCGTTGGTCGCGAGCTCACCAATACAATTTTATTCCTGGTTTGAATGACGTCCATGGTCATGATGAGCGCCGCTATGATTTATGTTCAACCGTCAAGCCGGGCATCTCTCCTCACCAGCAGCAGAAGAATTACAACTCTTTGGGTTACCTGGCTTGAATTGTGAGAATCATGACACATCAGACGAGGACATGACTGTACGAGATCAAAATCTTATTCACAATGAAATCATGTAAGGCGAGGTTTCAATGTGTTTTTGAAGGGTTGTATTAGGTTGTATTAATGTCAATGGTTACGAACAATATGATCTATCCAATCTGGAGTCTCTGAATCGCCGAGAACTGCCATTCGTACGCATTGCAGCCTATAGTGACATCCGAGTCCATCTTCCATCGGTCTCTAGGGCACCTGCGCCCCAGGCGAAGAGCGTGACGGGTGATCATCTGAGATACAACGCCCTATGCCTAATGAACATACTCCTGTCACATTGCCATAAGTCCTTTCACGCATCAGACTGACCGGCTGGTGAGCCCGGACTCCACATGGACTGTCGTCTCGGCGGCGAGGGGCTCTTACGTGGCGGACACCACAGCCCGCGTGTGTTCTGAGGCGTCGGTATTCCGTTACGGAGAGTCTTGGCGGCGTTTTCATGAGTTCTCGGCCTTCCACTTTCATCTGTGGGGGCTTTCAGCTCAACGGCGCCCAGCGGCCTCGAGCGTTGGGCACTTGCGGACGATTGAGAAACCTTTGATGACGTGTTCCGTGTCACAGTTGCTTTCTCGAGAGCTTGATCGGCGGAATCAGCAGTAGGGGCCGAATTTTCGCCTTTCATGTGGCTATACTCCACGTGTGTCGGAGAACTTGCCAGAGCAGAGTGCGAAATCTGACTCCCAGGACCCAGCCCCGAATATGTGCATACTGCACCGAGAGGAGGGTTTGCTGTCGACACATCCTCGTCAGATGCTTCAAGAATGTTCTCAGGAGTGCGGATATCTGAGAATCGGCTGCTTGTCTTTCTTTGTCGGCGACTTCCGTGCACAGCGGACTCTGTCATGCTGCTGCCAGACCTCGTGGTTCTTCCCACAGACAGTGGATTTCTTGGAGTTAAGGACGTCTCTAAGGCACCGCTTGTGGTATTCATTCGTGAAGATGACTTCTCACCTGATGTCAAGCTCTTCATTGCAGGAGAATTTGGAGGCACGCCGCAGGCTGACGACTGTCCACTGCCAAGTATTTCGGAGCTTCGGTTCGAGACTGGACGATTCGTCAATCTGTCGAGCTCACCGGTGGCGAGCATCAGGCTCGCTGTTGCCAAAGGGTCGAGCGTACTCCTCCACGAGCCAGGCTGGGACTGTGCGCCCACAAGCACCTGTCCTTCATTCGGAGGTAAAGCGTTGAAGAGAGGAGTTGATTCTGCCGATGACATGCACACCGAGGAATGCCTACCATTGCGTCGACGTCGCCTTGAACTCGAGTCAAAGGAGAAGTCACCATATCGTCGCGATTGGAACGTCTTTGAGATCCTGTCCATTATGGAGTGCTGCATAGCCATGTTCGAACGATCCTCTAGGGCAGATCTTTGAGACGCTACCTGGTTTTGTTGTTTGTCAGTACTGCGAATGAAGGCAATATAGGACGATGTACCTCAGACGGCGCCTCATATGATGAGGGCGTGTGGCAAAAAGCAGGCGAGGGAGAGAGGTCACTCATCCCCCTTGAAGAATCCTTGTGCTGGAAGTTCCGCAATGCGCCTAGGATGCCACGCGGCGTGCTCTTGACAGATGACTCTCCACTTTTGTTGCAATTGTAATCTGGGAAAGACTGACCAGTTTCGACGGCGTCATCTGCAGTGTGAGACTGTTCCTTCCTCGACACCTCTGATGTGTGCAGGCGCTTGATGGGCTTCCTGGGTTGTAAGCCATCTCGACGTAGGGCATGGTCGATGGACTCGAGTCTTCGGTCAAGATCCTCTGATGGACAATGTTCATGGGAGAACGACAATGTCGTTGGAGTAGACCGAGGTCGTGCCCACACTCGGACTGGATTAGTCGACTCTAGGCTCATGTATCCGTCTGTACTATTATGAATTGTTGTTGCGTCACCATAAGGCACCATCGATGATCCAGTTTGATGTTGTAAGGCTGTCTTTGAGACTGCGTGCAGCTCCAGGTTATCCGGATGATGAATGTTACGACTGCAGGCAACGCCACAGCAGCGATGTATGCCGCCTATTTGCCGAACCGGGTCAGCCATGCAGCCACTCAAGAGCTGGATAGCGGCGAGGTTGGCCAGGAAATCATTGTCTCGGTGATGGTAAGGAGACACGCACGACTCCGACTGGTTGCGACGGCCAGACCGGGCAGTGCGCGAGCGGTTGTCTGTATTAGTACGTCTCGTAGTGATGCTTGCGAGTGGAGGAAGTGAGTGATACGGCGGAGGCGCATCACCAGAGAAGCCTTCAGACGAGCCAGCCGGTGGACAGCGTCGACAGCAATGATGACGGTTAAGTAGTGGGCGTGTGCCGGGTGCCTGTTGAGTGGTAGAAATGCAGGGCCCCGTCGAACCGCGATGTGTTCCCAAGCTCAAACCTTGGGCGTTCAAGGGCTGCATCATCATCTTGAGTTAAGGGCAAGACGATAGTTGGTAGATAAACGGGTGGTGAGTAGGTGGTACTGAATACTGTGCCGGAATTTCTGATGATGATCGAGTATTATACTGTAAAGAGCGGGTAAGAGGAGAACAAGGAGTCAATATGTTGGTGTGGTTGAGGAACAAGGAAAGGATTCTGTCAACAAAAGCGAAGACGCGAAACTTTTGAAGACATGCTTCAACTGGCTGAAGGCTCCTTCCTTTTGGCAACCAGTACCGCTCCGGCCCGTACACTCGAATAGAGCGTTCTCTTGTTAAAGGAAGTACCTAGGTACCTAGAGAAGTGGAAACACCGCAAACGCCTGAAAACAAGAGAACTGACGACGGCACCAGAGGCCTATGTGTAAAAGATATGTTTCTTTCTCTAATCCAAAGTGTATCAATACATATGTCATAAAACTCCTCGAAGCCTAAAGCTCCCGAGTGGTTCACTAGTCACAGCTTCATGCCGCCCAACACCTAGCGAGCCTCATGCCCTGCCCCCAACACCCGATATATCGACCATCTCTACAATTTCATGCCCCCCAACATCTTCGCCACCCTCATGGATTGTCTCATCGACAAATCTAGCATAATCTCCTGTTTTTTTCGCGTTAGACCTTTCTATGAGGCAAGTTAGGAATTTTTCTTACCTCGGAACCGCCAGGAATGGCATACGCCCTGACATCTCGGTACAGCCTCTCGACCTTGCCGCCCTGGCCGCCACGCGAGTAGGACAGGCCGCCGAAGATCTGCGAGGCCTCGCGGGCGCAGAACTCGAAGGTGACGGTGGACTGGGCCTTTAGGCCGGCGATGGGGCCGCCCAGGCGCAGCATCGCCTCGGTCTCGCCCATCTTCTCGCACTGGTAGATCAGGTTCTCGAGCCAGTTGTACGACGCCTCGATCTGCCGCGCCATGTGCGCCAGCTTCAGCCGGATCACGGGGTGCTCTATCAGCTTCTTGCCGAACGTCTTGCGCTTGTTGGCGTACTTGACCGACTCCTCGAAGCACACCCTCGAGAAGCGCAGGCACTGGATGATGATGCCGATACGCTCGTGGTTGAAGTTGGTCATAATGACTGCGATGGCTGTTAGCTGGCTGCGGGTTAGTGGAGTGAATGAGTTGGTGGTGTACCTCTGAAGCCCTGGTTCTCCTTGCCCAGAAGGTTCTCAACTGGCACCTTGACATCCTCAAATGTGATGTACGTTGTGCCTGAAGACCAGACACCCTGGCAGTCCATCCTCCTCGTCGACACACCGCCGGCCTCCCTCTCGATAAGCAAGAGAGAAACACCGTTCATGCCTGGGCCACCCGTCCGCACTGCAGTCGTGAAGTAGTCAGACCAGATACCGTTGGTGATCCACTTCTTCTCGCCGTTGACAATGTAGTGCTTGCCGTCCTCGCTCAGCTTGGCCTCGCATGTCAGGTTGGCAACGTCACTGCCCGCATCTGGCTCAGTAATGGCCAAGCAAATGCGCTTGTCGCCATTCAGAATCCCAGGCAGGATCCGATCCTTGAGGGCCTTCTTGCCAAACTTGACTAGTGGCGGGCAGCCAATGCCGAAACCGCCGATGACGTTCCAGACGAAACCGCCAGAGCCGGCGCGCGAGAGCTCATCGGTGAGGAGCATCTCGTGGAAGAGATCCCATTGCTCAGGCGCAACGGACTTGATCTTGTTCTCGGTGTAGTCGCTCTGAAAGGCTGTCCCGAGCAGACCAGCCAGGTAGCCCCGGCGGCCCATCTCCTTGTAGATCTCGGGTGGGACCTCCTTCTTCTCGTCCCACTCGGTGACATTGGGCTCGATCTCGTTCTCGACCCATTCGCGGACCTCGGCTCGGAGGGCGGTGTGGGACTCGTTGAAATAGGGAGAGTGGAACTACATCACGCCAGCGTCAGCGATGAACACGCCCTGGGCAGACGAGTCGAGAGCAGAGGGAGAGCACTCACTCCTTGGTACCAACTTGGGTCGGAGAAGGGGATCTGAGCACCGAATGGCTCCAGAGCCTCGGCTTCTTCCTGGCCCTTGGGGGTGACGGGCTTCTTCGCGGGAGCGGCGGCCTTGGGCGCGGCAACAGGCATGGGCTCTGCGGCAGGCTTCGCCTCTACTTTTGGCTTGCTGTCGAGGCTGCCAACCTGAAGTTGCCCCTTGTACTTCTTCAGGATACCCTCGTTGTGATATTTCCAGAACTGCTTGGAGGCATCCTTGCCGGCTACTCTTTGGAGGATCTTCTTGCCGCCTGAATCTTGTGGTTAGAAGTGGTCTTCGAGCGGGGCGAGAGGAGTGCGAAAGAAGTGTAGCCGGTGCGCCGAGGCTGCACTGTGCCTTATCAACCAAAAGCCTTACCTGGGTGGTCATCTTGAAACTTTGTCAGGTCATAAACATCTTCATCGACAATGATCCAGAGAGAGTCAGGCGTCTTGTGCGACGCGACGTCGTTGGCGCTGAATGTCTTTGACATTTTGAAGGACGGTGCTATCGAAGGTAAGGGAAGAAAGAGGTGGAATCACTCAATAACGTTGTCGAAAAGTAGACCGAGGACGAAGACAGTGATCACCAGGGAAACGAAGAAAAGAGTGGCCCGGGAGAGAGTTGTCAGACAGCTTGCTTAGTCTCTTGCATTCCTGTTAAAAGGGAGCGGCCAGAGTGTCGGCTATGGGAGAAGGCAGGAATCACATGCTCGGGAAACGAGTAAAGGAACGCAGCAGCGCCAGCGTCAGAGAAGTCGGGCCACGAGGACAATCCTTGGACCCCTGCCCACCCCACACAAATCCCATTCATCGTTGGTCTACTTAGCTAACTCGTAGTCTAGTCGTATCGTGCCACGCCGTGGGGCAACTCGGAGGAAATCTGGGGAACCTTGGAACTTGGAAAGAGGACTGCAACGGGGAGTTCGTTCTGGTACCCATTTTCGCTTCTAGCGGCGGCAGGCTGCGCAGGTGTGTAGCACCAATGCAGCTCTCAGATTTTAGACAGTGTCATGTGCTCTTTTGTCTTTTCTCCTTCGAGAAACTCGTCCCTGTCCCGTTGTTTTGGGACGAGCTGGCATGTGAAAGCCTGAGTGACCAAGCTGACATCATGGACAACCTTGGGTGGCTCGGCCAATGGTGCGAGACATGATTCGCATCGACTGGGCTCGCTTGGGGCCGAAAGGGGCAAGAGCCGAGGCTGAACCCACAGAGATGTGCGCTTCCCTGACCCACTCACTCCCCCGGACTAAACATTTCCGACCAGGGCAGCTGAGCGTCGCCGACAAGGTTCCATGTTGTCCAACGTCGCAATGCTGCAATGTCGCCCGGTCTGTCAGGTCGATTATAGTTAGAGCAGACTGTTCAGACGGACGACTCTCGGTCCAATGCCATGATGAATGTAATTTGCAGTTCTTAATTGGAAGCTCCCTTTGCTGCTCCAGCCATACCTGCCGCCCCTCAATACATTGGCTCTGGATCCCTTCCCAGACCCGTTTTCCGATGATAAACTCCGATAGCAACGCCAGCCCCTTGGTAAGGAAAAATCCCTCGGTATCAGTGAAAAGAAATCATGCAGAGTAGCAAATTGCCGCAAATGGCCATCACACCAGCCTCTAGACAATGTATGCCCGCTTCGGTATCTGTTCTTGCTGCACTTAAGCAGTACCACGAGGCTTGGCCTTGGCCTTGGCCTTCTCCTTCTTCTCCTCTTTGAGCTTCTTCCTCTTCTCCTCGTTCTTCTCCTCCAGCTTGCGCTTGTGCGCCTTCTGCTCCTCCGCTGTCTTGGGTACGGGCTTGAAGAAACCCTCCAGACGGCTCTGCTGCGAGCTCTTGAGGTCCTTCTCCAGTCTGAGTGCGCCGGACCGCACACGGTCCTCCGAGAAACCCTTCTCGTTGACCAGGAACTGAACCAGACCATCCACATCCGGCTTATCCCATTTGAAGTCGCAGAGCGGGTCCTCGGCTGACCGCACGTCAGGCTCGAAGAAGAGGTCACGCGCGTCCAGGTACGGCCAGTCGTCGGGAATGGTGTACTTGCCCTTCTTGTCGTTCTTGATCGATTCGACAATCTTCTCGAGGCTACCGTGCTCGCGGACCAATTTCAGCGCAGTGTGGGGTCCGATCTTGGGAATGGGGTCAAGGTAGTCGCAGCCGAGGAGGATACACAGGTCGACAAACTGGAAACGGTAAACGTAAGCATGGAGTAGATAGTATATTGAGAGGAGCTTTGATGGGCACCTACCTGTTTGCGGTCCATGTTCAGTCCATCCAGGACCTTGTCAAGGTGGATCTCTTGGATAGGCTCCTTGCGCTGCTCACTGAAGGTAAGGTGGCGCAGTAGGATCGGAGTGTTGAAGCAGAGGGTGTCCATGTCCTCACTGGCGGCCGCGTAGACCTTACCTGCTCGCGCCAGTACAGCGCATTGCGCCTCGGCTTCAGTCGGCGCGATCAGGAATGGGATGCCCATGAGCTTCAACAGGCGTTGGCACTCGGCATTGTGCTCCTTGGTCACGCGGACAGTCCGTCGCGAGAACTTCTCCACGTCCTCTGCTGTACCGGTCTCTTTGGCCTCCTCCAGGCCCTCGTTGGCCTCCTGCTTCCGCTGGTATCGCCGCGCGAGCTCGCCTGACTTCAGCTTTGGTGGGGCGCCATCGAAGACGTAGAGAGGTTTGATGCCGTTGTCGCAGATTCGTAGGGTTCGATAGAACATGCCCATAAGGTGCGAGGTGGTCTCACCCTCCTCGTTCATGAGTTGTTGGCCATCGGATCGGACTGCAATGAGGAATGAGTAGATGCTCATGGACCTGTGACAATTGTCAGCGCAGGCAGTGCACGTTCTGGTAATCAATTTTCGTACGCATCCTGCAGATACAATCAGCCATGAAATCAGTAGAAAGGAATGAATCAAAGCTTACAATTGCGACTTTGCGACCGAATTGGTTCTTGATCTCGCCCTCCTTTATGGCGTCGGGCGCCTCCTCCTTGATGATGGAGAAGAGCTGCTTGATTCCCATCCTGGCAGATTTCGATGTCTCTTCTCTTGTAGTATGGTTGAGTGATCGAATTCTCTGCTCAAGCAGGCGATAGGAATGTATGCTACGAAAAGGGAGAGAGGTTTTGAAAAGGTCGGGCTCGGTTGCCTGGAGGGCTGGTGATGTCACGAAGCTTTCTCCAAAAAGACGCGCTGCGGGACGTTCAGTAAAGTAGCGCGACGCGACGAAATGGACGTTTTTAGTGGGGCACGCCCTGCGGCAGGGGTAATCAGTCTACCGTTTCCTGCAGTATTCGACGCCCTTCGAGCTTTCTCATTGTCTTCTACAGCTGCAGCTTCTGCTTTCCCTGCTCTTAGCCGAGACTTGGACGTAAGTGAACGTTGTGCAGCTTTTGCAATGGTGAGCACAACCCCTTGCAAATGTCCTCACGTCTACTTCGCCTACCTTGCGTAATCAGTGCGAATCGAGGATGCTCTTCTCATCTAGCTAGATATTTCTTGTGTCTTGACATTCATTTTTGGATGTTGAAGATCAAATGAGTTTGGTATTACAAACAGCTATCTGACGTAACGGAAGTGATGGCTCTCGTCACCCAATTCAGCCAACTCATCGTCTGACAAATGCTGATGATCCGCGTGCACTTCTCCCGCGTCACGCTTCTTATTCTGGCTCCTAAACCACAGAGACATGAGTCCATATATCACAGTGGCCATCCCGACAAGCGACAGTGTAACTGCATGACCCTTGATATATCGTGGACCCTCGGCTGTGGCGTAAATAAAGGGGGCCATGATTCCCGAAGCATTCCCTATGGTCAACTGCATACCAGTTGCCGTGGTTCGTTTTCCATACCGTGGACAATTGTTCGGAAGCTGTCGCAAGATCAGTCTTTGTCTTCATGGTGGTTAAAGAGGTTTCAGGAGTTTCTTACCCAAGCCAACGGGATTCCAACGAGGACATACAGCCCCATCGCAACGAGGAAACACCCGAAATAGTGCACTCCAGAGGGCGTCGCTGATATCAAGAGAGCGTACCCAATAACGCTGATGAGACCGAACATTACACAGAACAAACCTCGCCTCTGGACGCGGTCAGAGAAATAAGCAACAACCATGTAGGTCGTTGCGCCCAAGAAGTAGCACGGGATAGTCAACAGCTGCACCTGTGCCGGAGTCCACTTCCCAAGGCCGTTGATGATTGTCGGCAGGAACGTCGAGTAGCCTGTATGAGATCCAGTCAGTCACAGCGATCTCCTGGCAATTTCTGCGACTGCCAGTGGGATTTCGACCTACCATAGAGCATGGTGTCAGCTCCAAACTGCGCAATGCAGAACGTCCAGACCTTCCAGTCCTTAAAAGCCCTCATCATATCCCCAGTCGAGAACTCCTGCGCACTCGCCGTCATCCCGTACTCCCTCGCATGCCGCACAATCATGGCTTTCTTCTCCGCCTCGTTGAGGAAGTATGCGGACTGCGCATCATTCGGCAACAAGAAGAAGGTCGCGATCCCGAGGCAGAGGGTCGGCAAGCCCTCAATGATCATGATCCATCGCCAACCGTGCAGGCCGGCCACGCCTTCCATGTGCCCGATGCCGTAGGCGAGCAGGCCACCCAGGGCGCCGGCGATGGCGGCCGACACGAACAGGTAGCCCACGCGCAGGGCGAGCTCGTGCCTCGTGTAGAAGAGCGTGAGGTAGACGGCCAGCCCGGGGAACAGGCCGGCCTCCACGGCGCCTAGGAGGATGCGGCACGCGATCAGCCCGCCGTAGCTCTGGACCAGCCCGGACAGCGTGGCGATGATGCCCCAGGCGGTGGTGATGAAGGCGATCCAGTACCGCGGCGTGAACTTCTTGAGCACCAGGTTGGACGGCACCTCGAAGGCGAGGTACGGCACGAAGAGGATCGACACGGCCGTCTGGTACTGGTTACCGACGAGGCCGAGGTCCGCCTCGAGGTGGTATAGGCGCGCGTTGCCGATGTTAACGCGGTCCAGAAAGCTGAACGCGTAGAGGCTCATGACCAGCCAGATCAGGTACAGGTCGAGCTTGCGCACCAGCTTCTTCTCGTCGACGCCCAGGTCCTCCACGGAAGCGCTCCGTGGCACGACCGTCCCCGCCTCTTCAGAGTTCTTGCCCGTGCCCGCCACGGTGAGCGGGTCCTTGGCCGTCGCTAGGTCTGGGGAATGCATGACCCGGGTGCTGCTGCTGGCCCTGGGGCCGGCCGGAGGGTTGGTCGGTCGGGCAGTTTCCCTCGTATATCCGCAGTCCTGGACTGAAGGCCGGGTCGAGCTGAAACTGCGACCCAAAATGGTGGTGGTGGTCCGCAGCGAAAAGCAGTAAGCTGACTCACAAAAACCGCCGATTGGGGTCACACGAAGGCGTCGCTTTCTAGGAGCGATGTCTCTCCCTTTATCCGTCTCCCTTCCTTATCTGCTGGCCTCTCAGAAAGCAGCTATGTCAGCAGGGTGATAAGTTGCCCTCGCCCCAGATCGGTGTGGGTAAGCGATGATAACGTCCCTGCCGGCTGCGGCTGCACGCTCTGTCGATCGCTCCGCCGGCGCCGGCGCGCATGAACTGCTCCGATGAAAATCTCGCCCCATCCCGTCGTTAAGTGGTCCCGATCTGGTGGGGCTCTCAGCGTCAAAGGGCCCGATTGTATGTGAAATGACCCGATAACGCCCTAAAGAGAAGACCAAGGGAATAAATTGGTCCATTGGGTAAATGTTTACCTGGTCTTCTGCTTGCAATAATCGGACCAGAATGACTGAGTACATCTTGCAATTGTGAACCCTTTTCAAGCAGAGGACTGGGGAGGTCGCTATCTAGCCCAGGCCGTATGTCGGCCTCGGCGTCCCGCAACCTTAAGATCACAATGCAGATGGAGATTCTCAAGGTTCGGCTGACGCACTTCTGGAGTCAGTCACACCTGCATCACACTGACAAAGCAAGAACAGACGGTTTTCCTCCCGTTGCCGTTACCGATTATGAGATAGGCGAGCAAACAAACCTAATCGCCGCATTGGAACGGTCTCCCGCACCGACACTGCGCGGCCAGAGATGGTTCCGTCTAGGCAAACAAACCGCGAAATGCCCGTTTTCTCCAACGGCCACAGGCTGGCTGGCTGGCAGATGTGCTGTCCAGTCTACTCACGCAGAATGCCGAACTCTATTTCGCGTGTAAATGTAGCTCCCGTTCTTCACCAGCCATAACACAGCAGGCGCTTCCCCTAACCACAACGTCTCGGCCAAGATCACTCATAATGGCACCCTAATATCAAAGGGAGAGGGGTTGATCTTGGCCCTAGATAACGACGTCGATCAAAGAAAGGAGGGACGAACTCTCCCGTCGCCACGCCACGTCAGACTCGCCGTGGCTTAAGACCACTCACCCCAAGGAAGCCAAGATCATTAGCTCCCATCCGGTGTGGTGCAATCTACAGGGCGCCATGATTCTAACCCAAGGATCCGCCAACCTCGCGGCCAGGAACCATAAAGGCTCCCAAGACTCCTTTCATCAGGCCATGACGCTACCAAGACATGCAGAGCCTCACCCGTGCCGCCGCAAACTTTGTCGTGGGTTTTGGCGCGGCGGGAGAAGGGAGACAAGCACGCCGGCACAGAGGGAACACCCGGAGGGACGCCCTGCCCGGCGTGCCGCACCAGTCCGGTGGCCCGGATGACCACGACAAGCGTTTGAGGGTCCTAGGCGCTGGGGAGATGAAGATTTCGGGGTTTCTTGGTGGAATCTTGGGCGAGCTTGGGAGTTCTTGGTCGCCCCCTCGGCGCACCCAAGGAGCCAAGGCCCCCTGACATGTCTATCAACAACATGCCATGGCCTGCCATCGCCCTGCCGACGTGGGACAACACAGACCATGGGTTCGGGGGCGTGGACGCAGCAAGACTGAAACCTACACCACGATCTCAAGATCGCCTTCCTTCACACAGATAACCACGCGGCAGGGCCCCCGACTCGAACGCCACTGAGGGACAGGCAACCTCCCTCTCTCGCCTCCGACACTTTCAAGACATGATGATACCATTTCTAAGGCACGACAGCCCCGGGGCCCTTCGGGAGGCAAGAAGCAATTCGCACTTCGCAACTTTTCGGAGTCCGTCTGCCCCATGCGAACTCGTCACGCAAACAAGTAGGAAGGTAATCGTGGGGGAAGGGGCGAGGGTATGAGGTAGGGAAGGGAAAGGAAAATGGTTCGATTTCTCGACGATCCCAGACCTTTCGCGTTTCGACGCTGGCCCAGGCTGGACGCGGGCGGCTACGCGTCCTGCCTGGCTGCTTGGCGATCCGGGCTATCCCCGGTGAAACGGGGCATGGCAGCCTACACGCAGGCGAGTGCCTGATTGGTGGAGTCAGGAGGCTGATATGAGAGTGGTTCATGCTGTGTGAGATCGTGCTATCTTGGGACCTGGCTCGCAGGACTTCGTGCGGAGGAAATGTGCCGTTCGGCGGGAAGGCTGCGAGTGAGTGGGTGTTAGTCGACATTGATATTGGTCTCAAGGCGGAACGCTGCGGGAATGGTGTGACCCTGTCGAGCGAGGCAAGAATGGATTTCCACGGATTCACGCTAGAAGCAGCATAGGGAGTGGACGAGAGACTCAATGAGAGAATGTGGAATCATATACAGCTTTCTATTTTCATAAGGTAGTCGCTAGGCAAGATGAATAACAAAGGGAGGGCGCGACTAGCCCGCCTCCCAAGTGTGTCGACCGCAAACAACGCGGGACGTCGTAATCGCGATGATTTCTAGTATTATCAGCACGCAAGCTATGCACGACCTCCTCCTTTTTCATCTCAGCCGTCCGTGGACGTGAGACTCTCATCCCCGTTGACTCAGAAAACACCACCACCAATCACCGCCTAGAGTGTTTCTCCAAGGGCTCGTTACGTCGTGTTGCTCGTCGTACGTGATGTTCCCTCGAGGCCAAGTTTGTGTCCGTCCGGGCAGCCATTGGTAGGCACTGCTCCCCGCAGGCTGCTCTGATTTTTCCGACTCCAGGATGAGTCCTCGAGATAGTCGCTCAAAGGCAATCTCGCCAACCAGATTACTCCGAATGAAAGTTGCGTCCGGCGCGCCGATAATTAGAAGATGATTGTTCGTGACCGGTTCATTCTCGGCCAGCGCTGGGTTTTTCTTTGCGCGATGGATATATGCGCGTTTATATGGGTATTAAAATTGGAACATGGAAGAATGGCATATCTAGAAGTTCTCCTTGCCCCACACGAATGCGAACCTAGTGATGAAGTCAGTATATGTGCACGGCATGGTTGTGTTGAGCAGAACTTACCCAGGTTCGCTGTACTTGTTACAGAAAATATGCAACGTACTACCCAGGCCCTTGGGACCACAGAAGAACACACCCGCCTCAGCTGGTGCGTGCAACTTCCTGATACCCCTGAAAATCATATCCCAGTTCGGCCGGCCAAAGTTCGTTGGCGCCCGGAGACCAGTGATGGCGTCCTTGTCCGCGTTGGCATCGTTGATCATGATGTTGGTAGCATCGTCGGCCTTGATCTTGGCCGTGAGATATGTGTGAATCTCAATACGTTGGTCGACGTCCTGAGCCTCGATGGCGAGGAGGAGAGATCGGAACCACTCGAACGATCCGAAATCACGGCAAATCCAGAAGAAGTACACCTTTGCCAGACGAGTCTTGGTCTGAGGGTAGTTCATGCGGTACCAGATCGACTTCAGGATGGAGGCGAAGGGTGTCACACCGATACCTGCACCAACGAGCACAGAGATCTCGTACTTGAACACGTCCTCGGATGCGGAGCCGAAGGGACCATCGACGTAAACTCGGGGCAGGACTCGGCGGAGGGCCGGATCGACATCGCTGTTGTCGCTGTTGACACCCACAACGTTGGAGCCACCTCCCTTCTTGTCCCACTCGCAACCAAGGGCCTTTGACACCTCTCGGGTGAAGTCACCGACCACACGCATGTGGATCGAGATGTAGTCCTCCTCCGGAGCGCTGGTCAGGGTGAAAGGGTGATATTGCCAGATTGACACCTCGGGGCAGCTGAAGAAAATGTACTGGCCAGCACGTGTCTTGGTGTTCTCCTTCTTGATCTGGATCTCACACACGTTGCTGGGGTGCTGCACGACCTTGGAGATGTATGTCTTGTGTCGTCCTCGCATCTCACGGGCGATACGCTCGGCCAGGTAGATGAAGCCTCCGTACATCCAGTACTGCCAGAAGACACCGATGGCTTGAGTGCCAACTGAGATACAGAATGGAGCCACATCGGGCTGGATCATGCAGAATGCTCCGTGGAAGGACCAAAACAGGAAGAAGATAACGAACATGTGGTGAGTGTACCAGAATCGCTCGTAGTTGGCCCTGCGAGTCTTCTCCACACTGGTAATGACCATGCCGGTCAAAGCAATCAGCATGATGTAGCCAGTCCAGCCAGGGCCAGACACCAAGTTTGCCAACAGGAAACCGTAGATACCCAGGTTGTTCTTGGCGGCAATTTGTGCGAAGTTGTTCCAGTGAGCAATGGTGTGGACCCAGCTGAAAAAGAAGATCGACCATGCTGTCGTGATGTGGAATGTGATGTTCTTGTCGAATTGAATGATGCCGTTCAGTGGCGTTTGACGGGCCAGGGAGATGAACGTCCTGCACACCGGGAACAGGATCATCGCCACGTCGAAATGAAGAACCAGAGCCGCTGAACGAGCAATCATGTACGTTGGTCCGAACGTGTCTCGAGCCACTTGCAAGTTGTCTTTCACAGCGTAATTGACAAAGCCGAACGCAAACACCATGGCGTGTAGTACGGCGAAGACGAAGACGAAACTGTCACACTTGTTAGCCTAACTCGCCACGGAAATACCCACATTCATAGTCGCCCTAGGCGTTCACGTACAATCTTCGGTAACCCTCGTTGACCATCCATCGGTCGAACTTTTCTCTTGATGACAGCTCCTTTTGTTGCTCCTGTGTCATCTCACCGGACAGCAACATCCTCGTGAGTGGCGTCCATCTTGACCGTTCCGACTGCTTCTCGTAGCCCCCCGAATACCTCGCGTCGGGGTAGAAACCGCTCATTGTGAGATCGTGGTGATTTTCGTCGTCTTAGATTACGGTTTTCCCCGGTAGACTGTCCGTAGACTCCTCACAGGCCCACCAGCAACCGAAATCCGAATCTTCCCACTAGTCCTCCACTATGATAGCTTCGTGGTGATCGTCGGAGACGTCGATGGTAACAGTTCGTCCAATACTCTCCAGAAAAATTATTCGTTCCAAATAGTCGAAGCCCAGCGACGGAATATTCAGAGCCTGCTGAACTAGCAAAGTCGATACATAAAAGACAGTCGGGAATTGAACAGGCAGGTGAGTGTCTATCCTGAGCGTGGTTCGTGTCTGCTGGGGCCGCAAGAATACGACGGATGATCAGCAAACTGCACAGCAACAGGTGGTAGAACCTGGCAAGATGAAGAGGATTAAGTGTGGTAGGTGGGAAGGAAAGGCGCGGAAGGGAAGTGTGGCGGGATGCGATCTGGTTATGAAGCACGCCAAGGGTGTTCGACCAGAAACAGAGTGGATCTTCTCGTAGATCATACCTGCGCGCTATGCCTGTTGTCTGCGGTTTCTCATGTAGCAGACAGATTCAGCTATTACCAGGCTAGGTATAGTGGGTTTTGGCAGTACGGCGTCAATGGAATAGACAGCGCTGCTGGTCCGTGACCGGGAACAGGAAGATCACCGAGAGAAAAGAAAGGATGATACCAGATAGTACGTTCGAGAGGCGCGGCACGCACGATGTCGGAATGGCAATGGGAAGATAGGATGAAGTAGAAACCTGGTGGAGTCGAACCCAGAGAAGTACGGAAAGGGCCAAGACTCGAAGCCACCAGAAGCAGACAAAAGGGGGCCGAGGGAGGGGGCTTGTAGGGGGGTCACTGATCTTGGGCCTCTCGAACGCGAAGAGGGTGTGTAACGAACATGTCTGAGAGCCCTGGCAGCTTTGCCAGGACAGGAGATGGGTTGGATGGGCCATGATCCTTGGCCCGGCACACAGACTGACGGGTGCAGTAGGCGACGGACCGCTGCAGTGGGGGGCTTGTGATACACACCCCAATGGGGTGCGACCATGACCAATGTGAGGCTCTGCGAGCCGCCGCCAGCTTCATCGTGTATGGCCGTCGAAACAGTAGGTAGCCTGAATTGGGATTCGATGAGATCCACATCCAAGCCAGGAGTCAATAAACTCAGCGTTAAGCCGCAGCCAAGATGCCAAGATGCAAATGCAAGGAGTCTGTCGGTCTATCGCCGCCTCATCGGACTGTCGTAGATTCGCTCCAGTTCCGTGGAAGCTTTCCGCACGTGTTCCAATTTACTCTACAGGGCAAACAGGTTGTTTGCCTAATGCCCTCCACAAAACCCCAGACATGGTTTCGCTCTCGCTCGTCTGCCAGGTTAAACATTCCAGGCACGAGCTAGATGCATCGCATTGCATCACAAGTGACAGCGTCGGAGGGTTGCACACACAGAAGAGTGACAACGAGGCATGCCGTAGCAGCCGCAGCAGAAGGGCGTCGTCATCTCGTTCTAGAGTGATACCGACACCGTCTCCTGTCAGCGGCAGAGCCGTGTTTGGGAGCCTCGTTCGTCAGCGATGGGGGATGATCGACCGGTTTGACAGGGCCTGGAAGAGTGGGTTATCGAACGATTTCGTTCCTCTGGTTCGTGCCAGGAGGCCTTAATGGCGGCACATCTGCTTCATCAGCGCCTTGCAAGCTTGTGGTAGCACAGCCTGGGCGCATCGAAGGGGGGGTAAAATGGGCTTCTCGAGGCGTGGGAGTGGGTGCGAGGGCGTGGGCGATGGCGAGGGCATGGGCGTGTGGGCGCCTGGCGAAGTTGGGTTGTGGAGTACTGGGGGCGGCCCCTGACGAAACTCAGCCTGCGACACGGACCAAACGGTCGGAAACCGACAAGTCTGACGGAACCCCAGATGGGCCAATTACGGAGCTTCAAACCCGAAAAGATTGGGTCCGTACCTGCTGACTTAGCAGAGCCACGCCTGGGTCCCCGGCCCAGCCCAAACTGCCAAGATTCCTCCAGACACTCTGACACACCCTCTCTTTTCTCCCTCGCTGGCGACTCTCTCGTCGGTAGGACCACGACCAGCCCACTTCGCTCCCTTATCGACTGGACGCCACAGCGTTTGCCATGCTCCAGCCTCGTCAATCACCATCTGCGATTGGAAGTCTGTTCAAGCGGGTCACACGTCCGCACCCCGCTTCCCGTCCCGTGTCGACAACTCAAACTCTCCGTGGAATCTCCCTCCCCCCAGCCGGCAGCAGGTTGATCTGGGGATCCCTGAAGAGATCCACCCAAGAATAGACCTGCATGTGTCAATTGCTTCGCTTGAAGCTTAATCTCCCAGGACGCGTCCACACGGGGCTATGACAATATCACCATCTATATCACGTCTTTCAAGTGCTCCAACGCCCGGGTACCAACCAAGAACAAGCACCTTATCAGATGCAACCCTCGAGGGAACATCAGCAACGGAAAAATCATTCGTTCGTGAGCAGATTCCAGGGTACGATCGAATGCGCAATGGTCTGGCCCGTGCCTCCATGGGGGTTCGCCTATTCGAACTAGCAAGGGGCAGGAGTGCACATGAGTCTCAAACCCCTGAGGCGGTGCGACTGCTCTGAATAATTATTCTTCAGTGTTCCGGCGGCACACTTCGCGTTCTGGGGCATGCTCAATGGGCGCGGCACTATACAAGGAACCTTTTGACATGTGCCTTGGAGCTATCGGGACTAGGTCTCGGGGTCAATGCCGGCCCAGTTTCGACTCTCGAGTGAACACCATAACTCTAATTATCATCTTTACTGTCCAACATCATCAGGACTCACTTCACTAACGGTCACGAATACCACGCCGAAGAGTTGTGATAGTTCCAAGCGGACCACAGATTTGGCAGTTGGAACTTGGCACGGCATCACTTTTGCGCAACTCACGGGAACCGCTCGACTCTGCACTCCATCACGAGTGTGATGTATTCGCTAAGCCTCGCGATTGGGTGTCCTTATCGTTTGGACCGCAAGGCGGTCGCAAGGCGGAAAAGATGGCCAATTTTCGTTATCATCTTAAGTCTTCCACGCGCTTTGGGTTTGGTCTGTATCATCCCAGGTGGGGAGAAAACCAATGCCAGCGTCCGAGCATTGGCCATGTTTCCAAATCCCGAAAGGGCTTTGGCTGGACCTCTGCCTCTCAGCCTATCGTCTGTTTGGCGATGCGTTTTGCTTTAGTTTGTTTGGCCCGATCTCTCTTGCTTTGAGTTTGTGATACTAATCTCACTGTTCGCAGTCAGCCGGGCTCGCGAGGCTAAACCTGTTCTGCGCCCGATTTGTGTGTTCGGCCGAGGCTGGATGCTGAATGAGGAACTCATTACGGTTTGGCCTGATATTTATCCTATCATCCCCTTAAAAGGCTGATCTTCCAAACGATCTCCAAGTGGCGGATGCAAGAGCAAAGTCACGACCGATGATTCGGGACTGGCCTTCCTCGACGCATCCGTATAAGGGGGCCCTGGACGCTCCCGGAAGTGATCCCATCGCCACGGAGGCGGCCGTTTGGTGACTAACGATGTTTGGACCGATGTTCTAGTGATTCCAACACCGACCGTTGCCCATCCCACCGTCGTATGAGATCGAGCTGGAAGCTGATGATTATACGACCGCCGTACGAGTGGCCCTGGTGACTCGCCCAGTCCTGTGTGAAATAATCGCCTCGTCTTGGTCCAATCATCGTGACATACATCACGACTGTCTCACTAGTATCCCTCGGGATTTTCCCGACGCCTCGGCCGACAGAAGTCCGCCGTGATAGTTCGGAACCCTGGCATGGCTGAGTCAAAGGTAACCATCCAGGAGGCCCGGGCACGATGGCTCCCAAACTTCTGTCAAGTTTCTGTTTCCCTTGCTCGAGTGCTGGATGGTCGGCATACGCGCAATGCTCTTCCAGGCTCCACTCTCCTCTTTCTACCGTTGAAGCGCCCTTTGTTTGTATCTCGTTGCACCGTGGGCCGATCAATCGCCGCGACTAGACAGGTGTTTCCCCGATCGCGAGTCACGTTCTAGCGACGTAGGACTCGATGGATGGTTGCAGACGGGCTTCAGGTCTCACTTCCGACGAGCAGCGTTTGAGGGTTCAATCATTCACTTATGAGTTGGTGATCTGATGCTCAAAACAAACCAACGACTAATGGCCAACCATTATGGAGCACTACGTGTGTTGACACGCCATTGGAGCCATCAAGTCGATGAGACCATATCGAGAGGGTATCGCGGTGAAGGAGCGACCATCAGTGGTCATGGCGTTCCTAGAAGTCCAGGTTGTTATTCTGATCAAGTAGCTGTGGCTCGGGACTTCGCAAATGGAAGAAAGAGAGACGGCAGTCACAATTGACTCTGCCCCATAAGGTCTGGATGTCTGTTTTCGAGTCCATTCAAAGCTGCCGCAACCTTTGTTTTGAGCGTCTCAGAGATGCTCATGTCCTGCGTGATCGCTTGGATGACTCTTCCTGGATGCGATTCCATTCCGAATGGCGGAGCACGCACCAGATGTTCTGGGGCTGATATCAGCACAGTTCAGTGAGCTTGCATGAAGATGAGCCTTGCTGTCTTGTTCCCGGAGAGGCCTTCATGCCGTCATTCTCCTTTCCTGTCACGTGGGAGTGTTGTATTTGGTGTTCCATGTACACCACTCTGAAGTACTGAGCGACCCCGTTCAAACACCGAGTGGCAATCACGTGCAACTATGATTGCCAGACAGCACTCACTTAAAACGATGAAATGCTGTCGAGAAAGATGCACCGGGTTTAACCAGCGGCAAAAGACTCATCAGCCCCGTCTACTCTAGAACGTCAGCAAGTCTGTCAGCTAGCCCGTTCATCTTCACAAGAACTGTGACAGACCAGTGCCATTGCACTACGAGCTGGTGTCTAACACAAGTCTGGGGCATGAACATGGGCATGAACAACTTTGCATAGTCAAGGATGCCGGTGGCATCTGCTCAATGAGCCAAGTGGC